AAAGCGCGCCGTACAAGAAAAACACTCTAAAGACCAACTCAAATGCAGAGAGAGAGCAACAATTTCCATCCAATTGATTAACGGTCGCGTCCGAATGAAAGGAAAAGTGCGTGAGGGAGAGATTTTTGAAGCAAAGTGCATATATTTTGTGGCTTTAAAGGTGGACACACGTGGAAAAGCGTAAGAGATGGAGAAAAAGCGAGTGTACAGTTGGCAGAAAAAAAAACAGTGGAGTTTTCAATGAAGTGTGCCCGCTTGAATGACTCCCGCATTGACTCCCTTTTGCCCAGGTGTTGAAATATGCTTCCATGCTTGTGTACACGAGCCGCATGGGCAGCAACAACTGGAGGAATATTTTTCAACCACCTCAAGACACAATGGAAGGCCTTTTTGTCTCTCGCTTTACGCAATTCTTCCCAAGAGTCCGTTTCAATGAAAAATCTCCCCATATTACATGACTTCCAAGCACATGGCGATTGATTATATGAACGAGATAATACCATAAAATCCGGCTATAATTCTATTTCCCCGCCAGATTATTAAACGTTCCCCTCTGGCGGCTTCGCCAGTCGGCAGCATCCAAATGAGAGCTTCCACAGCTCTTTATACACCAATTCAACGGCAATGGCATAACTCTACAAAAAGACTGGGCGCAAAGAGAGAGTGAAGAATTCTTCATATCACAATAATGAATTGTGGCCAAATTGCAGTGGCTTTTGGGATTGATCTTCAGGAGAAAGGGAGAAAACATTTCATAATCAAATAAATTGGCCATATATTCATTGCAGGAAGTCGACAAGATCATGATTAATGACCACTTATTCAGAATCTCTTTCGCTGCGATACATTTTGCAGCTCCAAATTGACCGGAATGAGAAATGCGCGATATTTGCAGCGAGAGTGTTAAAAGCATATTCAGTGCAAATCAATGAATGAGAAATATTTATCATTCCAATCGAAAGAGGAAAACTCTTGAGTCTTTTCCTTTCAATCATGCCAAACAGTCGAACGTGAATGATCGTATCGCAAAATGATTTTTCGATTGAGTTGCGATACAAACGGAACAAACTGCAATTTCTCAATAACTAGCCAATAAAATTCCTTTTTCTGTCTTCTTGGCTGAAAAAATAACAGCACTCAATGACCATAAATATCAGTGAGGATTCAGATTATTGAATCATTGGCTTGAATTGTAAATTGGCCAATTTTTCCACCCACAATCACACAGAAGAAAGAGTCTCTCTGTGTGACCTCATAAACATGCCAAGTTGAAAAATAAATGCCCGAGATTTTTCAACGTTTCCATGCTGTAGATTTCCGGGAGACAAAGAGAAATTTCCAGTATAGAAATAGTCTCATGTTACATTTTATCAACAATATGATTTGAAGGCGCATGCTAAGAAAATCCCAGCACGTGATTGTATTTCATGCGCTAACAACAAAAGAGAGATTTCCAACTTGCCACTCTGTCAGGAGATTGAAAACACTGAGGAAAATAGTCTTTCGCACTCCTGCAACACTGAATTGATGAGTTGCATCAAATTGCATTATGGGAATTGCAATTTGTCGCGCTCTGTCCCACATTGTCGGGCTGACATTCCACCTCTCGCCTCCAAATGGTACACATTAGTTTGCCAATCACGTTCTGCAATTTTTCAATTTTTGCTCTCCTATAATAGCACCACTTTGCACCCAAAGACGGAGTGCTCAACGTACAAATTTGTCCACAAGAATGTGTCTTGCTCAACTCTTTTGCCACACTCTGTGCGCGCACGAAAATCTCAAGAGAGATGGTTATTTGTCAAATTAACCTCTCTCATTAGGCATTGAATTTGTGCGATTGGTAATAAATCGATTGTTTCTATGGCTGCAACAGTTCTTTTTCCGTCCCTGCGTGTACATTTTTTTTTGTTAATTATTTATAGTTTGACCCAGGGAGAGGAATAAAACACACAGTCGAGCAACGTTCGCCATGTGACAAGGCTCTGACATTGAAACTCGGTGACGCTTTTCATGTGCAATCGCGAGCACAAAGAATCGATAAGAAGCCCACACAGAGGAATGACAATAAATTTTCCAAACTACCAAACTCAACAACCTGCATACACTCCTAATTACTTTCCATGAACTCTCGCGAGGCTATTAAAATTGTCGGGTGAGTTTTTTTTCTCGCTCTCTATGTATAAAATGTTTGTTTCTAGGCAAGGTGCCGGAAAACGCAAAGGTGGGAAAATTACCGAATACCCCCCAACTCACTTCCGCTGGAAATTTGCGTGACTCTGTCTGTGAGGGTGGTGGAATCCTCCCCAAGCGATTTCTGACCTTGTCTCACATTCTGCATAGCTGGATTTTTTGGAGCATGAACAGCCCTAATTGCAGGGCGGTTGAGGGTGGAAAGAACGAAATGGGTGTCATGGGGGAAAGTCAATATCAGGTGTGGAGCCACACCTCGCATCTCATCCACTTTACGACGGCCAAAAGCCACCCTCAACGGCGAATCCATTTGTGCACATTCAACAAATTGACGAGTAACATGATCGTCGTGGATGTTCTACATTCCGACGGCATTCCAATTGCACGTAATAGAATCGCTAAGGATGGGCTTAAGACTCCTGCACCTCCACAGGCCGGAGGGCAAATACACTTGCCATGAACACTTGGAAAGGTGAATTGCAAATGACGAATTGTCATGAGATAATTTCTGACTAATTGGATGAAAATTGGTCTCTAAGGTGTGTTTTTTCGTCTCAGCAAGTCACCGCAATGCCCAACCCACGGAGAGCACGAAGACTCTTGTCATAATGCCTCTCTAAATGACTATATTTGAGTGCGATGTTGTCACCTGAATTGAGTTTCTTTCATGGGAATTCCAACGATTAATTGAAAAGGCAAGCAATTGACCAAAAACAAATAATTTCGGATGAAAACACAAAAATGGGGTGTTCATCAATGAAGAAGTGTTGCTCATTTGTCAGACACAGCGCAGGAATGTGAACAAGAAGCAGGACTCGGAAGAAATCTCCATAGATTGACAACTTCTTACTAGTCGTTTTCCCCTTTGATTAAATCTCACACATAAGTAAACATAGTAATGATTAAAGAGAAAAGAGAGTCACTGTGACCCTGGGCAGTTCACGTAATCCAGGCGGTGTGGCTCTAATTGTCTTCACTGGGACATGCTTGAGCGATTGATTCCTCCGTGGAAGAAGGAAGTTCACATGACTCATGATATTGTCTCTCTTTTCTTGCGATGAGGAGACGCTCTTTTTATGAATGCACTTTCCATTTCGTGCAATTTCGCGGCTCTCAACCATGACAATTGACTCCAAAACTATCTTCATTCACTGACTCTTTAATTTTTCAATTGATATTCTATCTCACTTGCCTTCGTTAGCTCTCTGCTTAGTGAAAGTTTTTCCCGGAGAGCGACAAATCACCGTCAATCGGTGAGTTTTTCCGCTCTTTGTTCGCTCCCAGAGATCACACAGGTGAGATCATTCTGGTCAGAGTCATAAGCCCCGGAATTGGTTACCAAATTCAGGGAGTCGCAGAATGGGAACAGTGAACTCGTGACTTCAGCACGAAATCTGCTGAAGAGAGCTCTAACAATACCATTATCGAGGTTTAATTATTGTAACTGTTTACCGACATTACCTAGATTTTTTTTTACCCAATTGCTACTGAAAATGTGAGTGAGGCAGAAAAATCGCACATTATGCGCTTAAGTGTGTGAGATAAATGATTTTCTATTGAACTTTCCCACGCATTGGAGTTGAAGATAAAAATATACTTCAAACTCAACACTATCTTCTCCACACAATTACTTACAGAAGATCACCCAGTGAAGCGATAAAAATTCAACTATTGTAAATCATCTCTCAATGGGCTCTCGATCTTCAAAAGTCCCATGAGAGTGATCTAATTGGGCTCACATGTAACAATATCTAATGTTTTGTATCTAATTATCACATGCCAAAAATGAGAAGTTTCACCACAAAATTGGACTTTTCAATTTCTCAATATCCTGAACATGAGAGTTTGAGGAGAATTTGGTTCGGTCATCAAGTTCCTCAACCTCTTTTTCTGCACTAATTTCGAATGTGATTACGTAATAAATTATGCCGTGTTTTTATGGATCACTCTAATGACTTTTAAATTGACAAAACCAGCTCATTTAGCGGCTCTGCAGCTCACATTTGCCTCAGTTGCAATTTAGACATAAAGTGACATCATTATTAACAGTTTACACGCAATTAGTTTATAAAAAGTCGCAAGACTGAAATAGAAGCCCTTTGGCATTAAGCACGGTTGTCTTTGGCTCGTTTTCTCACCTTTTCATCCTCTCAATAGCAACAGTTTTTCCTCAGAACCCGGAATGGTAAAACGGTTTCGCAATTGAATTTTGTGAGGTGAATTGAATAGAACTATGCATAATAATTTTAATATGCAGTTTCATAGATGAATTTAAATACTGAAAGACGGTTCTTGAAGATAAACCACGAGAATATACCACTAGTTTGAACGATTCTCAGGCCATTATTAGCTCAACACATCTGAGATTAGAATGTGCATTCAATACAAAAGAATTAGAATTTCAAATGGTATTCCTGGAATTGTTCTTTTAATTTGATAGGTGGAGAATCATTAAATATTCCACTGGCTGGGCTTTATGACACTCTCTTTCATGCTCTCCTCGCAGCCACTTTCAGTCGAGATCAGCTGATTAATGAGATGAATCGAGAGGGAAAGATGCGAGGAAGTAATCACTTAATCTTCGTGCAATTACCACAGAGAAATATGTTTCAATTAATTTATATCACATGGGAGAGATTCACTATCTAATTTGACGCCTGCCTGAGCCCTCATCTTGGCAAATTAAGCCAAAACACCGTTGGAAAGTTCCATCCACTTGGCCAAAAGAACTCCCCCTGTCTTATCCCAATCTCAATGCTCCAGAAATTTATTCATGAACCCATCTGTTTGCCCTTCTGTCATTGCAGAACTTGGAGCAGGAGAAGCATGTGTTGCGTCGGAAGCTGTCCATGGCGCAGAGTGACGGCGATCAGCGGGTGCTGGAGCTGCAGGCGGATCTCAAGGAGTTCCAGACCAAATTGGAGGCACAGGAGCAGAATGTGAGGCAGGCGGAGCGCGAGAAGACCCTCCTGATTGAGGAGCTCACAGCACAGAATGCCCGACTGACGTCGCAATTGCAAGAGGCGAATCACCTCGAAGCCCAGCTCACGGCACAATTGCAGGAAGTGCGAGATCAGTACAGTTTGCGCAACACGAGCTTACAGGTAAATTACAGTGCACACGATATAATTATCATTTGCCATCAAATTGGGAAACTTAATCCGTGTTTTTGGCACGTGCAACATAAAGATTGATGGCATCGGCGGGGTCACTATCGTGATAACTCAATTTTCTCACCTATTCCGCAACGATATAATGCTTAACACCTTAACGCCAAGCCGACCCTTTCCCACTGCCATCGTGAGCCATTTAGTGTGAGAAAAGTGATTCTCGTACGAGTTCAATAGGCGTTATTGATTACATCGCATTGATTAGGAAGCAATGCTTTGAGAAAATTACACTATAATGATTTTCACATGCCAATATAGGGCAATTTATCATGTAATAACATACTTTATAGAGAGCAAATTAATTAGAATATCTCTTCTGAACACCACTTGACTTCTTCCAGATCTGATTTTGAAGCAATCTTTTGCAATATTGGCATATTTAATATTAATTCGCTCTCGCAGATTAGCTCTTATGATAAATCTTATAATACATTTTCTCAGTGTTTCTTTCCTCTCTTCCTCATAATATTTGCATAACCCAAAAATGCACAATATAAATATTTTCTCATGCAGCTGAACAGCAAAAATAAATGCTCTTCCCCTAAGATAAACTAGAGAAAATTGTCTTCTCCTGAGATGCTGAATTTACGTCCTGTGGCGCTTTCTCTAGGAGAAACTTCCTTACAATTTAGAGCACTCTCGTGCAACTTCTTGGTCGGGGGCAAAGCAAAAAAGGCCAAAACTTATGTAATCCAGTGGAAAATGTGGAGTTGCAATAACCCAAATATTCTGCCACCTCTCCCAATACCTTCACTGAGTCTCGGGTGGGTGATATAAAAATTTCATGTGTTGCCTTCTTTATGGCCATCTTCCAAGCTGGCGAGGAGAGTTGGCAGAGTGATGAATTTTTCACGGGGTGGGAGAGCATTTAGGATAGTCTCATATCCTTCTCACACTCGGCAGGATCACGTGAGCAGCCTCGAGAGTCTCAAGGATGAGCTTCGCCTGGTGGCGGAGAAGAAGAGCGAGCTGGAGAAGCGATTGCAGGCGTGTGTGCGCGAGAGGGACGCTCTGAATGCCGCCCTCGAGGAGGCCTCCGACCGGATACACTCGCTGGAGCGACATGCGAGAGAGCAGGAGACAAAATTGCAGGTGAGTCTGCTTCCTGCCTCTGCGCCGCCACGGTGAATATTTCATGTGGGATGCGAAGAATCCTTTTCTCTCCTTCGGAGCCCCATTTCATCCAACACCGTGGCGGCGAATGGAGGCGGAGGTGGGTGAGCTGGACAATAAAGTGTGGAGGTGTCTCTTTATTATGTTCCAGACCACCATTCGGACGCTGGATCGCCTCCAGAGGGAGAACAACACGCTGACGGAGCGGCTCGAGTATGCGGGCAATCAGGTGAGTGTGGCGACGTGAATTCCGATGAGGGGCTCTTTTACGACCGCATCCTCAGTGAATATTGAATGGCGGGTTTTGGGAAGATTGATGGATAGACGCATGTCATTTCGCTGACGAATCTCTTCCACCTTCGCTCAGGGATCGCCAAAGTCCACGCAGGGGCCGCGCTCACTGCTCGCCGAGATGGAGTGCGAGGAGGAGCTGGACGCCACCACGGAGGATCACCAGAACAATCAGCATCACCTGCATCCCATCGTCATGGAGGCAAAGGCTGTTTACAAGCAACTCAAGGCTCTCTGCGGCACTCTCAAGAGCACCCACGATGACGATTCCGGTGAGTTCTCTCCACAATCTTCCTCATTTCTCTCCTCTGCAATGTTTTCCTGCTCTCGCAGGTCTGCATTCGGACTTGTCGCTGGGCTCCATGGACAACACAATCTCCTCCCAGCCATCGGACTTCGGGCTGACTGGCGCCTCAGACAAAGAGCCCTTCCGGCAGGGAATGCTCTCCGCCACGGCGGACGATCTCATGAGGAGCATCATGGCCCTGGACTCTGTGCACTTCAAGGCGATGCTGGATCAGGCGAGGACCACCAACTCCGACCAGGAGGACGAGCTGCGGCGGCGGCAAGACATCATCATGGAGCTGGAGAGCAAAGTGAGTGCTTTTCTCATCTTCCTTATGCCCTTGTGTGCCATCAGTGGCGCTCTCACATCAATATTTCCTACTTTATGTGGGTGGAGCGCTTCTTGGGGCAATTTTTCAGCAACACAACTTAGAAATTAAATATTTAAAACGCTCCTTGAACTTCTTGGTCACGTGCTACGACATCATTTCTCAAATTTTGAAATAGTGGCATAAATGAACTGAAGCTGTGCTCTGCGCAGTCTAGAAAATTTACGCGATTGAAAATTAGAGTGTTTTTTTTGTTATTAGACAAGATTGAAAAGGGTTTTCAACTTATTTCTTGGGTTGTGATACAGAATGTTTATGTGTTTTCCTTGCAGTTGTCCGTTCTGGAAGTGGAGCTGAGCAGCGCGCTGGAAGAGAGAGATCAGGCGCGAAAGGATGCCAGCCAGAGCTCTCTGGCGCAAGATGAAGCCGTGGCTCAGGCGAGACTGGACAGAGACAACGCCGTGTCGAGGAGGACGAAGGCAGAGGTGGATCTGGCGAAGACGCGCGTGGAATTGATGCAGGCCAACGGTCAACTTCTGGAGGCCATCCAGCAGAAAGTGGAGCTGTCGCAGCAACTGGAGCAGTGGCAGGTGAGTGTTTCTTTCCCTCCCTTTCTCCGTCAGTATTTTTCATGGGCTCTGCTCTTTGCCAGATGGACATGCATGAGTTGATTGAGGAGCAGATGAAGATGAAGCTGAACGAGACGAACAGGAGCAAACAGAGCAAAGACGCTCCTCCAGTGCCTAAGAGAACATACAGAATCCTGAGCCTGTTCCAGCGATGATCACCACAGCCACTCAATTTCCCCTGTGCATTTAATTCTTCTCAGATGGCATCCCTGCGCGCGCTCCTCATCCCGAGGCGACTGATTCTCTGGCCGGGCTCCAAATCACTGAGTGTCAATGAGATTTCAAGTGTGGGCGGCACTGTACTGATCCCCACGAGGAAGCATTCACCTTCACGTTGTACTTAATTGGACCAAATTAATTTTTAATGTAGCCTAATTTCGTCTTATTCCTCTTTAACCACATCTTTTTTCCACATCTTTCTCTATTACTTTTGATTAATTTATTATCGATCGCATGTGTTAGTTTTCTCTCCCTCTTCTGTGCCGTTGAGAGAGAAAGAAATTACATTCCTTGCTCGAAAGCTGGTCTCATTTGGGGATTGGGTTGCTTAGGAATTAATAGAATCCCTAATGCAACTCTTATGCGCGGGCACAACTCTTGTGAGCTCATGTTATTATTGATGGTGTGTTCTAGCGAGAGGACGAAATGATTAATCCCCCCAAAGAATTTAATCCTACATTAAGCTTGTTGTCAGAATTTTAACTGATTTTCCCTTTTCTAATGATAGAATTCTTATACTAAACAAAAAACGCGTTAACTATACACACACAAACACACTGTATGGCGAAAAGGAGGAATATTTAGTAAGAGCACGTCTTTGTAAAACTCCTAAACATTTTACCATGTTGAATGTGAAGAGCAGAATGGAGAGTAATAAATTTTTTGTGAAAAACACTCTGCCAGACTTTTATTCATAAAGCCCTCTCTAGGAATGAATCTAACTCCACATCGTCTCCACCTCCTGCAGAACACCGTCTGTGTCATAGAATCTACGCAGAAGTGACGCAATATTGCTCGCCAGATGACTCAAATCTCCGCAGCTCTGAAGATTGATCTCCGAAATGGCCTCCCGGTATGGATTGAATTGCTTGGACTGTAGCTCGACATTGAGGGCGCAGCGCTCTCGTTCGAAATCACACTCGATGCTGATCACCTTGAGCAGTTCTGCCATGTGGCACGCCAGACACTTCCACAGCACTTTGGATCTCTTCAGCCGCGTGATGCCGATGGCGTTCAGCACACTCTTGCCCCAGTCATCTGGCTCATTGGCCATGTGGATCAGCCTCCTTGTCACGTGCACAAGGAACACAGAGTTCTCCGGCGACTGATCGCACTCCCTGAAGCTCACGCAGCAGAGAAAGCCCCACAAGAGCACAACTTTCAGTTCATTCTCCTCCGTCACTCTGGCACCGTTCAGCCTCTCAAAGACAACACCCATGAGAGTGAGTCTCTTCCTCGCATCTCTCTCACTCCTGAACGTCATAGAGGCATAGAGATGAAGACAGTGCAGAGCCTCCTGACCAATCAATGCCGGTCGCATCATTGCCATGTAACTCCACATGGTTTCCTGGACAAATTTCCATCCAGTATTCATTTCTACTGAGGAGTTTCTAAAGCACCCTTCAATTGTCACCTCTAGCAATGAACTAAGTGGCTCCGAGGCTTTCCTACTCATGGAAATGGCATGCAAAAGGGACGGTCCAGCGGAAGAATTGTTGATCTGCCATGATGCGAATCCCGCCATCACGAGTTTACTGTTCATTGGAAGAACAATTACTCTCAATAACTTTCAATAAGCACACAAATCTATTTACCTTGCTGAAGATTCAGCTTCCTGGGGAATATTTCTGACCATCTCCACGAGAACATTGAGTCCCTCCTTCGGGAAATCTTCCTCCTTTTCCACTGGAGAAGAAAAGTCAAATTAAATACCTAATCTTGAGCTTTGCCTTTAAAACTACTCACAGATCTTCTGGACATCCTTTAGCAGTTCAGAGAAAATCCCCTGGAAAATCTTCTGGCCATCATTCGAGGTGAAAAATTCCTTGTTATTGTTGACAGACATCACCAAAAATTGTAGGATTGTCTTCACATAAACCAATCGCTTCCCTGCTGCTTTAGTTGACTTCGCTTCCTCCCCGGAAAGGTCAATCCGTGAGACTCTCCTTAGAAGATTCCAAACTGCCTTCTCCAAAGATCCTGTAGGAAGATTTGCTGCCAATTTAACACACCAAGTCGATCCTGCAGCCAAGGAAAACACTCCCAGTGTATCACTGTATGCAGAATTCTCAACCAAATCCCATGGAAAGGTCGCTTCGACTTCCTGGAGCAGTGAAGTCATCCGCTGACAATACGCTGCCATGGAGACAAACAGCGAGAACAGCAGAGATATTGTCTGGACTCTCTCCACATAATTCCACGCTGGTTGATGCTTCTGCAGCCACGAGGTCCATGACACTTGCATCAATGTCTCAGAAACGAAGATCATACTTGCTTCCGAGCGCTTTTGGCTGAAAATCCTCGAAGACATAGTCAAGACTTCCACACTCGGATCATAGTTTCCCCAAGGAAGTTTCTTCAGAGCGCCATGAATGGCCAGCGTGATGAACGATGGAATCAGAGCGTTGGTGAAATTCTTTTCATACCACATGAAAATATGCTCAAGCATAGAATTACTTCCAGGAATTGAACTTAGTGCAAAGATTGTGCATCTCGTGAATCCATCAAGAACTTCATCAGGACCCACTTTTGTCGAATCACTCCATGGCAGAAGTACCGGATTCACCACATCCACTTGATTCTTCAGCCAATTCGTCGAAGACTCGGCTTTCCCACCATCCAGAACTATTGGAATGAGCCACATCTCGTAGACATCACGAATGCACGGCCAAATCCACTCACTATACTGATCAGCAGTGGCGCCCGGAAAAGCCTGAACTGTGGCCAGTGTTGCTGCCTGCAGCACAGTGCTCATGAAGACATTGAAGACTCTGTACAAGTCCTTGAATGTCGTGAAGAGTCCGTAGATGCCCACTTTTTTGCGCTCCTCCTTGAAGAACGCACTAAGCCAGTGAATTGTCTCCATCAGATCAACTTGACTCAGGATCTTCTGCTCCCTGGAGAATCTCTCCAGCATCTCGAGGATTTCAGAGCCACTGGCGCTCGGTTTAATCACACCCAATCCAGCAATATTGCAGAGAACACTCATGAGATCCATGAGAACGTCAGCTGTAATGCCAAGTTTCGTGAATCCCTCAAAGAGACTCTTCAGCACACTGTTGTATGATTGCGGGAAGTGATGACGAAACAACTGGATCAGATGAGACCGAAGAATCTGATCATTCACCACTGAATTTCTGTGATTCCCCACTTTCAGTCCTCGCAGGATGAGCTGCATCAAGCCTTCCCTGGCAGAAGAGTGCGGCTCCTGCATCTGTAGCCAATCCGCCACTGAAATCCTCCCCAGAATCATCGCAATAATCTCCTGGTCATTCCAATTGCCAAACGATGCAATTGTGATTTCATAGATGGTGAGAAATTCTCGCGTAGGAAGCTTTTCCGGTGTAAAAAGATCCATCAACAGGTCAGCATAGAATGCTCCCTTCAGCATGATTTCCACCAATCTCTGGCCTTCTTGCTGCAGATGTTCACTCATGAAGTGCGCCAGACTCTTCACCACAGACTGAGTGAGTGATTTCGTGGGCGGATAGAGAGTTAAGAAGTCCGATGAGGATCGCAGTGTCTTATACAAGATCTCAAAGGCGATTTTACATGATTCGGTGCACTTCACGTGTCTGGACTTTTCCATAAGCTTTCTGAGGGTTTGTTCCATTCGCAGCAAAGCTCGCAACACATCATCTTGAAGAGGCTTTCTCATTGTGTTCATAAGACTCTCACTCTTTTCTCGATTGCTGGCGATCTTTCTCTCAACGTCAGCTACAACATTTACTCGGTTCTCAGTTATCCGAATGCTTGCAGATCCTGAGCAGTCCTTGTTTCCCAGAAGATTGCTACATGTCTGAGAGCGATAGTACACCACCTGTTCGTTCACCAGTTTTCCCTTTACCAACCTTCCAAACACCGTGTCCAGCTGACACAATTCCTTAATGTCCGTTGCATAGGTTTTAGCGTACTTCTCCATCAGATTGAAATCACTCTTGAACTGACTCGATGAAAACATTGAGCTTTGCAAGTATTCACGCGCAGAAGACACATTAATAACAGATTTTACTAATTCCTGCGATCTTCTCGGAACAGGAGTGTCATAAGACATCAGTTGCTTTTCAATCTTCTGCGTAAAATCCCTCGAATCTGACTTCGGCACAGTTACAGAACACCGTGGAATCTGTCTTCCAATCTTTGCATTCCACTCTTCGTAGTTTTGTTTCTGCACAGACAGAATTGAACTCATGTTGATGAACTCCGTCCAATCCTGTCGTGAAAACAATAGTCGTCTCACTCTCGAATCTTGTGTGATGTCCTTTCCTTCGAGCCACTTCTGATATGTCCTAAACATCTCAGCTACACTGCCATGGAATCTGTGGAGAACTTCATCGAATTCTCCCTCGCTATCCGCCAATTGCTCATGATAAACCTGAGCATGTTCCAACTGACCACGAACGCGCTTCATGATCATCTCATTGGCGTAATAGAGTCTATCTCTCACGTGTCCCTGACTACTGGACACCTTCGTGAGGTAGAGAGCAAAGAATCTTTGGCACAGGATCACAAGCATCGTATGACTCGTTGGACAGGAGATGATCAAGTTGGCTAACTTGCAGAAGACCAAATCTGATGATTGACTGTGCTGACTTCCCACAGAACTGGCCACTTTCCTTACGAGACTGTCCAGATTTCTCTCCGCTGACGACTGCAAAGAGAGCTGCAGAACGAATTCTTGCCAGAAGCCAGTTTCAGCCTCGAAAACATCGAACTGCACGTCGAATACGAGTAATCCCAACCAGATTGTCGTAACTGGGAGGTTCGGAATCAACCCAATTGATGTTGACTTAGAGAGGAATGATGACATGGATTTCGCTGGAGTTGCTGTTATTTTGGTCTCCTGCAAAAGACATAATTTGTTTAAGAAAAAACGTGAAGAGTAATAGTTATGAACTGATTTACAACGACTTTTCGAATACTGACCATTGTGAGACTGGCGAAGAGCTGCCTGGCCTCAAACCAAGCTTCAGGGACGGTAAAGGCAAATTCCAGGATTACATCCAGAATGTAGAGCGCATTCCAGTTGCTCTTGAAGTCTTTGTACCTCGTGAGACATTGCAGCCACAAGAGGATGATAGCAGTCGGTGAGCGAAGTCCGTAGCGCTGATATTCCATGAACTGTGACAATATCATTTTCCCAAACAATTCAATAATCGCACACACACTCTTGCTGAACACCATATCAATGGTCATCCGTGCGTAGGAGTTGTCCACAGAGAAGATGTGATGCAGAAGTGAATTGAAGGCGGTGTTCTTCGATAGACTCTCAGGACAGGCGAGAAAGAGTGGGAAGACAATTTGAAGGCACCTCAAGGCAGTCACTTGGTCATCACTCTTGAACAGTACTTCCATATTTCTGAAGCTGTACGTGCAAATCTGCGGAATGGAGTGTCCGCGCTGAGTGAGCAGAATCGACAAATAAATGGCCAGATGTCGATTCTCTTTGATACCCTTGCACACATCAGCCAAATCCTCAAGCTCTGGAATCTCGGAAAGAACAGCTTCAGGTGTGCAAATCACTTGCCACGGAGTTTCTCGATCGATGGCGTGAAGCTTGAGAACTGAAATCATTTTCCAGCACCACGTTTGGAAGTTCAATGCCGTGGTTTTGTCCATCACGAGACTCTTCACATTCTCAGCAATAAAATTCGATGAGCTGGAGGAATTCTTCACGGCCGCCCGGAAGATAATCAGTGCAATTCTCGTGTGCAAAGCCGCGTGAAGGAACAATCGGCCGTCTGGTAGGTATCCCCAATTGATGTTGTTGATGATAATCCTCGCCATTCCGTTCTCTGCCGATTCCAGGGAACTCTCAAGGAGCCACTTCTCGAGTGTGTCAAGCACACCCGGACCTGGTCTCCACTTTTGCAGCGGCAGACGCTTCAGAAGATACGTTCCGTAGGAACTTCCCTCCAAACTGTTGCCCTCGAATTGAAGAATGATGTCGCTGATGAGCTCCGGACACTCTTCCGCCAGATTTGCTATCAAATCTCTGGCTATTTTGCTGCAATCGTGCTTCGTTGAGCCTCGCAGAAAGCCTATCTCGAGGAAATCGGACACAATGCTCTGTCGAAGAACTACATTAACACTGGCCATGTTGGCCAGAGTCTGCAAGAGATAGTGAAGATCCTCCTGAGACACGTCATTCGCCTCGAATACCTCCACAATACTGTAATCCGCTTCGCGATTCCTCGCCTCAATTGTCTCCTCGGCTGGCGAATCTCCAAAGTGTGGCGCGCGGATCTTCTGATACAGATTCCCAATGCATTGTGGTGTCAACTGATCGAAAGGCAGCCCAACGAGATATTGCCACGCTCCAGCTGTGCGAGATAAGTAGATATGATCGACAGAGCGCACGAGGAGCTGCTCGAATTCCGTCTGAATTCTCGCCCTGATCATTACGTCATTCACTACTGTCGCTCCTTGGAAGACATTGTAGACACTCGATGCATACTGAACACACTGAGCCACAAGCCGAGCGAGTCTCTTTGTAAATTGCCGATACTTCTCCGTGTTGTACGTGCACAATCCAATTCCCAGGGTTTCCACGAGAAAGCTGGCGAAGGCGAAGAACTGAAGCACCGTCCGGGCAGTGATTGCCTCCTTGCGGATTATATATCCCTCCGCTTGAGGTTCCATCTTCGTGGCCAGACTGAAGATTTCCCGCCACGGGATTTGATTGAATATCGCCACGAGATCACTTTCTCTCAGCACCAGCAAATCCACATCTTCCTCCCCATCGGAGTCCACAAACGACCACTCATCGCCGCCAGAGACATTCTTGTCCATTCTCGACCAGCAGAGGATCTCACTGAGGAACTCTAGCCGTTTCGTCACTGGCAGGAGAATCGCCTGCAGGATTGTGAGACTGTGCTGAATGCAGACATGATTCTCGAGGGATTCCGTCGAAAAGCCACTCGCAGGGACTTGAATCATCGGCGCTGCCCAGGAAACAACGCCTGGCGGACATCGCAGGACGTGATGAAGGATGAACATGTGATCTGGCCATGTTGCCACTTCCAGAAGCAGATTCACGACAATTGTCAGCCACTTTTTCACATTACTCGTGAAGATCTTGTCCACGCTGGGCTTTCGCAGGAAGAAGAAAAGCACAGAAATGCTTCGTCGAAGATCATCAGATCCGCTCACAAACTCCTGTCCAGCAGCTGAGCTGTGTTGGTTCTGAATTCTCACGATCTCCTCGTCGATCATCATCTTGAACAGAGCACCGAGAGTGGCACAATTCACAAATTTATCACAGCAAGCAGTGCGAATTTCAGACAAGTTTCCAAACACGAGCTCCAAAACGTTATCATTGAAGATAGCTTTCCTGGAAGAACAAGGCATTAAAATCTCTCAAGCAGTCTGAATTTCTGACAACTCACTTAAACGACACTGTGGTAGACACGCGATTCCCATCACTGCACGTCCCGGAGAATCTTTGGTTCACATTAATGATACTCCAGAGCTTCTCTTGGTTCCCTTTGCAAATTTCCTTGAGTCTCTCAGCCTCAATCTCCAGACATCTTCGCTCAGCTAACGCCTGCATATATTCCTGGAGGCAGTGAAATAGAAAATCATCGTTCCTGAGGAAGCTGGGATTCAATTCAGTCTCTATAAACTCCTTCTCGAGATCCTTGGCGAAGCAGAGAAGATTGTTCGAGTAGAGTTCTCGTAGTTGAGCAATTGTAAATGGTTCAATGTTGATTTCCAATCCCTGGACATCTTGTGTCCTCATAAAGGGAATTGCATCCTGTTTAAGCTTTTCCAGTGTTGGATAGAGTTGTGTAGATGTTTCCCTGAGGATTGGCACTTGAGGCACTTCCTCGACTTCCAGAGGAGGAGCTGAAGGTGTGACGATGACTTCTTCCGGGGCTTCTTCTTCAGCTGGAGGAGCCAAAGGGCGTTCCTGAGTTTTTGCCACTTCATTCTCTTGTTTTTGTGTGGTTGGTTCTGTTGCCAAGGCTGTGGGATGATGACATTCCTCTGCAATCCCTTGAACTTCTTCCACTATCGGAGCTACCTCGAGCTCCTCAGGATCCTCAACTTGATCCTCAAGCAGTTCAACATCAGCAATTCGCGTCTCAACTCTTCCCACGGATTCTCCTGAACTCCTGGTCTTCCTTTTCTGTGAATCATTATCACACAAAGGAAATCAATAGAACGCAATTCATGGAATTCTTATCAATTGAATGCAAAGTCAGCAATTATTTCCTCACCTTCTTTGTCTTGGGTTTCTCCAGAGTAGCCATTGCACTTTATTGTGTGAAATAATCAACAATTTTACACATAATTTACATAAAAATATTGGGGCAAAAATTTCTTTCGATACCACTTTATTGTTTTCAGGGCATTATCATGATGTCACATTTGAAAACAACGGCAATAACACACCACAGAAATATATCTATTTGTAGGTCATGGGAGAGTTGTCACGAAGAGTGCATCACTGGATATCACAGAAAATTACTTGTTCTATAATTGTGCAACAGAATCACTGTCGAATAATTCAGAAAATACACTTTTTACGTCTTTTTTCTCAACCTCGCCACTCACTTCACCTTCTCGGGTGTCCTCCGCCAGGGCGCGCACAGTCGCATGGTGGATGGCATTTTCGCCGCGACTCGCCGTCAGATGAATAAATAAAAATATACACAAGCAGTCTATTTCGGGAAAAAGTGGCTAAAAAGCGTGGAAAATAATGGGTACAGTGGTCCTCGAGACGTACGATGATCTCCAGGAGAAGCTAAATGAGGCGCGGTCGCGTCTGAAGGGCCTGAACGACAATATAAGACGCGTCGTTGGCCGAGATGTGGTGAACTTCCCACCGAGGTTAGGAAAATGACATTTTGGCCGCACATTTTTTCCCAAATACCGAAGGAAATTGCTATTTTCGAGACGTTTTGAGCCCTAGAATGTCCTCAGGGACTGACTGGGCGTGGTTTTGGGAGAAAAAATGCCAGAAGTATTGATAATTTTCTGTGGTTTCAGGATGGACAGGAAGCGCCCTTATGATTCAGAATTCGGGGCGAAGGACAATGTTGTGGTGAAGAGACGCTTCAACAATGACACAAAATCCGTCTTCAGTCGACTGTCGGGTCCGCCGCATCGTGATGATGATGTGGAGACGAAGCCCAAGGTGTATTCGAGAGTGATTAAGGAACTGCCGACAAGGGAGGAAATCGTGGCCGCCCAAGGCTTGGATGAGCAGTCAAAGGCTCGCAATAGACGTATTTTTGCCGTCAGTTTGCTGGGCACGCTGCAGAAGTTCTGTCAGGAGGAGTCCCGACTGAAGCCGAAGGAGGACAAGAAGGCACAGATTGAGAAGCGCCTGGAGGATCAGGCGCGGCGCGAGAAGATCAACATGGAGAAGGAGCGCAAGAGTCTGTTCAATGATCGCAAGCAGCAGCAGCTCCAGATTCGCCTGCTGGAGCAGAAGATGAACAAGATGCAGGAGGAGCGCGACTGGGAAGAGTCTCAGCGACCGCTGATGAACTTCATCAAGACTAAAGCCAAGCCACATCTCTTTTACAAGCCGAAGATCGTTTGCAAGAAGACAGAGAGAAAGCTCGTCGAGAGCAGAGCGGAGATTGAGAGTGAGTTTAGAGGGAATTGCAGAGGTTCTTGAGGCAGGAGACTGATTCATTGGTTGTTTTGCAGGATCCTTGGAGGCCAAGCGACAGGCGGTCAAGGAGGAGATTGCCGAGATGGAGAAGCGCTACAGATCGGAAGTGGCTCAGCACTCGGACGACAGCTATATGCCGCCGATGCGAGCGCAAGAGCCAATGCGGCGCGACCAGGAGTCCGACGGGGAATTGCAGAGCTCAGACAATTCAGAGGACGAGACTGAGTCCAGGTCTCACAGGCGCCACGGTCAGGACATGCAGCTGAAGACGGTGTTCAAGCAGGAGGACGTGAAAGACAACGTGAAGATGATCATCTCCGTGGTGAATGATCAGGCTGTGACCAATTGAGGTTGCATTTTGTGAATCCCGAGGCGAGAATTCAATAAAAGCCTTTGGTAATCCGGCACGTGGCTGTTGTAGGGTTTCGAGGGCGTTGCCTGGGCAACGCGAAAAGAGTCACAGTGTCATGGGGAACTTCTGCTGGAGGCGCCGCGTCGCTCCCACCAGCGGCACTGCCTTGAGTATCCTTCTAGTGGGTCTCGACGGATCCGGGAAGACTTGTCTGGCGAACACTTTGCTGAAGACTCGCCTCAAGGGCGTTCCCAAGCCCACAACGGGCTGCCAGGTGTTTCCTGTCACGCTTCAGGGCAGCCAAATTGAGGTAACCGAAGTCGGTGGTCGCGAGGACGTGCGTCCTTTGTGGAAGCACTACTTTCTCGACGCCCTGGGCGTCGTTTACGTGGTGGACGGCAGCAAATGGCAGCGATTGGCGGAATCACGCGACATTCTGCATCAGCTCATGCAGAATGAACTGCTGCAAACGAAGCCTCTGCTGGTGCTGGTGAACAAGCAGGACAAGCGCGATGCGGTGGATCATCTGGACGTTATAGATTTCTTCGAGATCTCGGACTTTGCGAACGCCTTCAAGACTCCAACGCTCGTGATCGGCGTGAGTGTGGATGAGGAGGGATCAAAGCGCCTCTCGGAGGGATTCAACTGGCTCGTGACTACTGTTAAGGACAACCACGTGGCGCTGACGAGGAGGAACGAGATCATGCGGGACATCGTGAATCAGAAGGGCAAGAAAGGACGCTCTCTGATCAGAACTCTGAGTGCCAGAGTGCGAAGAAAGGTAAAAAGCGATTTCCAAATAGGACAAAAAGGACTGTTATTGATCAATGCAGAGTACAAAAAAATTGTTTTCCCTTCTCCCTCTCTCCAGAAACGCTCGCTCGGGAGAAAACTGACACGGAAGCGCCCCAGAACAGCACCGCAGCCGCCTGACTGATCTCAATGCGATGCCAAAACCTCAAAACTCTGGGAATATCTGGGAAAATCAATACAAGAGTTTGGTGTTGAAATCTTTTTTTCTTATTTTCTCTCATTTTCTTTTGATTATTTTTTCAATCCAAAAAAATCATTCAACGATGTTACATGTTTTTGTGTTTTTATATTCTCCATCATTAAAAATATAGTGTTTAAATGTAGTATAATAATATTTAAGGTAAATCAAGGTTTTCTTGTATTTGCATATTTGTTTTTAGTAAACGATAATATAGGATTATCCGTGGTTTTTCAACTTAATCCAGCGCGAGGATTTATCATATGACAATTATAATTTTTCTTCACCATTGTATTCCTTTCTTTGCATTTAAACTGTGACTGCATAATTATGGTTTTCTTTCGCAGATCAGAAGATAATGAAAATTATTATTATTATTTAAAAAAAATGCGCACAACGTTTTACTCTTCAGTGTTCCTTCTCCTCTTGTAAAGCCTTCGATTGGCCAAATATGTTTTCGCTTTGTCTTAAAGTTATCCTCTTTTATGTGTTTCATTCCTTCATTATAATATATATTACAAGTTTATATCATTTCATTAAGACTAATCTTATTTTTTTTTGTATATTTTCTTAATTTTTCTTCATCATCATCAGTGTAAATATTCTATCTCTCATTTTTTATTCTTCTTTTAAAACACACTCGCATTATAATTGTAATAAGTTTTTTCTTCCTTCTTTTCATCATTTCACAAGTACATCTCTAAATGTTTATCATTTATGTCTCCTCTTCTTATCGCTCTCTCTCTCTCTCTCTCTCTCTCTCTCTAAATCAAAAGTGTAATTATAATATTTTCGCATTCATCTGATGTTCCGCCACTAAATCAAAAATAATGTCGTAAATATAAACGAAAAAAGGGGTGGTGAAAGAATATAAAGAAAAAGGCAACATTTATCAACTACAGCAGAACTGAATTGTGAACAAAAACAAGAAAACATAAGAATGGATAGCATTTCATCATTAGTTTAATATCGTTTAGCACGTAAATTCTCGCTCTTCTCATTTTCACACAAGTTCTTCAATTTTCTCGATTCATAAAAAAAAGAAAACAAACCTTTGGGACTTTTGCAGCGCGAATCTTTCTAATTTTTCCCCTCAACTCGCGCAATATCATTGTTTTGCTCGTGCTTCACTGTACGGTTTTAAATCCTTCAAATGTCTGTCTGTGTGTGTGTGTTTTTGCTGCACAATTTCACGCCCTCAGAATTGTTACTTCTCGCAATAATGGAAAGTTGTTTTTGGGAGATTTTCTTATCAAAAAAAGAAATCATCTCAAAATGTCTTTAGCATAAATCGCATGTCACACACAAACACACGCTAGAAAATCATAACATTGTTGTAACTCTGTTGTTTTTTTCTTTGCTGAGCTTTTTTCCGCGTCTCATTGGACGCATAGCGCGAAAAAGTCCCATTTGGCACCTCTCCAACTCATTCTCCCTGCCTTTCTCACATCTCTGCAGAGGCGGGAGAGCACATCTATTTAAATTGTTGTGAAAACGTCTGACTCACTTCTTCGCCGGAGCGTCAATTTTGGACTTTTTCGCCTGAATCTTGCCCCCATCGGCACCTTTGGTCACGCACGTCGGCATAGAATCTGCGACAGACGACGTGCTTGGCGTGCAAATATCACGTGATGGCCCGTCAGCAGGATGACCGTGACTCTGCTGCACCTTCGTCACCTGCTGCACCTGATTCCTCTTGTACGAGCGCATTGTCGAACCAAAAGAGCCCGCTCTTGTGCGTTGATTGCCGCCACCAAATCTGCAATTCACCCACAATTCAGCTCACAATCATTCCCTCCGTCATTCCCCATTCTCTCACCTTCTATCACGATTCTGCTGAACATTGCGATTGCCAAGAGATCCAACGATGGGTCTCACCTCCTGCTCACCGTCTCCAGCAGCTGTTGTAGCACCTTCACTCTCCGACACGCTGCGATGACGCCGCTTGTCCGGCGACGTCCTCAGCGATCCCACACCCTGAAGCATCTCATCCAGCTGAGGCTCCACCACGCGGAAGTCCTCGATTGTCTTGAACTTGGACAAGTAGTCATTCAGCACCGGGTCAACAGTCAACTTGGTCGAGTTCTTGTAGTATTTGATGAATGCCCAGAATTTCTCCAGTCCGTACAGTTGTCCTGAAATTTAGGCAGAAACGAAAGATTGAAGGAATGCTTCAAAGATCAATGAAGTGTCTGCAGAGGCATGAACTTTGCCACATAGTCTAATTTTATACTCATAATCCAAATAGACTAAAACTGGTTACTTGGGTCATGCAGATGTTGCCAAGCCAAAAATTCCACGCATAATTGATTTTACGATCAATTCCACGGCAGTATGACAATCCTAATATCACTTTATGAGCACATTTTTATATTTTTGCTAATTTATTCTCCCTCCATCATCAAATGAATAGAAGAAAACAAAAGCAATTTCAGTAAATTAGAAAAGGAGGAAAATTCACGCTTCTGTGCGACTGTTTATTGAAAACAAGTCATAAAAGTTCCGAATGAAATGATATATTTTTGCACTCCAGACTTCTGTGTGTGTATATTGAAATTGAGTAAATAATGTCATGTTTTGAAAATGTAGTTCAACAAGTTGTCGACAATATTTGGCAAACCTGGTTTAATTGCGATATCAAATATCAATGAATCACATTCACACTCACCTTTCTCATAGTCCCTGATCGTCTCCGCTTGGAAGTCCTCGTAGAGATGCGGTCTGAACTTCTTCTCCAGTCCGTACGAGTAAAAGCGGAAGAGACACTCGAGTCCATAGCGGAATCCCGTCTCTGCGTCTTCCATGGCCAGTTGTCTAAATTCGTCATACATGCTCTTGTTGAAGTTCTCACGCAGGAAGAACGACCAGAAGCGGAACAGCGTATTCATCTCCTGTGACTGTCCAGGACCCATCCTCTTGCGATCCTTGAGGCATCGATGGTGATATTTGTAGTACGCCTGCTGCGTGAAGTTGTTCTCCTTCAGCAGCGCATGCGACGGATGCTGGAACACGGGCAGACTCTGTGGCACTGAAGATCCATAGCTGGACGCCGTGGGACTCGTGCCCGCTGAACTGCCCATGCTCGACGTCCTCGGCCGATGCTCCACAACGTCCATCACCCAGCCAATGTGGTTCTCAACGGGGGGATTGCTAGAGTGGCGTGTCTTTCGCTTCCTCGGCGTTCGCGGATCCACCAGTTCGTCCTTGTTCACAGCATAGAAGCGTGCCTTGCGATGGGCACCACCAGGCGTTGCAGCACTCGTGGATGCATCGAGATCGCCTGCGGCCTCGGCAGCCGCCTCTGCGGCGCCGGCCTCTGTGAATGTGGGCGGAGGCGGTGGTGGAACATCGGGATTGATCTTCTTGGCGACACGCGGAACGAATCTCTCGAAATCCTCCTGTGTAATCACATTGACTGTCTTGTAGCTATTCGACGTTGGACGTCGATTTGCAATCCACAGATCCTCCTCATAGTTTATGAGACCATCATTGATCACCTGCTCCAAGTCCTGAGCTATCTTTGTGCGCGTCGTCCAGTCACCAGTGCGATCGTAACCCTCGTGCTTCGGCGTCCGATGGCTCATCACTTGTGTCACAATGAGAATCTTATTGATATCATGATCCGACAATTCGTAGTCCGACTCATCGTCCGACCAGTTCTCCGTGAAGTGGTTCACCCGTCCGGACGTGGGGATGTCCAGCTCCTCATCAAACTGAAAGTCCAACTCCTCCTTCTCCGCCACGGGCGGCCGCTGACTCTGCTTTCCCTGCTGACTCACATTCCCAGCCGGTTTTGGTGTTGTCTCCTTGCTATTATTGTGCTTCGATCGCCTCTTCACCTCGCGCCACAGATCCGAATCGCTCTCCTCACCCTCGTCACGCCTTAAATTATTGTCAGTCATCACCTTCGCCACCTCAGCGTCCTCATCATATCCATCCTTTGGCAGCTGATCACTTTTTCCACTCACTCGCTTCGAATTGTCTTTGAGTTTGGCCGGCGGCACAAATTCTGGCACATCAGGATTCAAGTCATCCTTCATCCCACCAATTCCATTCTCCTCCACACGCTTCCCCTCACTCACACCCTCAACACCCGTTCTCGAGCGAAAGTTCCTCGGCACAGGGGGCGGCGGAATCTTGCTGAGAGGAGTCGCGGCGAGTTGACTTATCGGCACCGCCGGAACTTCCACTGGAACCACAGGAATCGGCGCTGGCATGACTACTGGCGGTGCTATGGGATTTTGAGCGACTGGCGATGGTGTTGCAGCACCATCGAGAGTCGATATAATCGGCCACTTGGCTGGGTCTGACTTGGTGCGTAATTTGAAATCATTGACAATCTCCAGTTTGTCCGAGTCACGAATCGCCTCGATGATCAGCGCGGTGTCCGCATTGAGGGCCTGAACACGATTGAAGGATGCTATCAGCGTCACTGGGATGAATCCCTCGGGATCCATCTTGCGACGCAAGAAGAAGTCACGCAGCAGATTCTCCTCACTGAAGTAGTACTCTCTGAAGAAGGAAGCAAACAACAAGTTAATGCCAGAAACTTCTTTCCATATATACTCTAGCAACTTACATTTGTCTCTTGATGCACTCCTTAAGACTAGGTTGATCCATGGTCGGATATGCGGGCACCCCATTGAAATAGTAGGTACCCATGAAAGGCATCATGTAGGCCGCCAAATCAGCACCCTGTTTGGCCACCGTAAACTCCCTGAAGCGATCGGGATCGTGCATGATCACATGCGGATCCACAGGCGATGCGGCATTGCCGGCACGCGAGGCACGACCGCCACGTCTCGGTGCCGGTCCGGCGCCGTTGTGATGCACACTCGCCGCCGATGAGCGTCCAGAGTTACCCTTGAAGCGACGATTGCTGCGGCCACTGTACTCCGGAGCACCGCGACGTCCGCTGTGCTGAGCTCCACCGTAGAAATCACCGCCACGTTGGTGGTAATCATCGCGTGCACCGCCACGTTTCCCAGCACGTGACGGCTTCGACACATCGATGTCCAGCGGCACCCACTTCTGCCGGAAACCCCGCCGATTGGTGCCACTCGTGCCGGCAAGTGGCACTCCAGCGTCAGCACAATTCACGTGATTCATGCCATTCACTTCAGGCTGTGTGCGTGTCACGCTAGTCACGACTGGCGGGACTTCCTTTGCTGGCGGCGTGGGCGCCTTCGCTGGTTGCTGCAATGGTGTTTGCTCATCATTTACAGCCACAGGCGTCGATTCAGCTGCTGGTGCATTCGCAGGTGGCTTCTTCACCTCACTGGGACCAGCACTCGCACCACCATTTCCCGGAACTCCACCCAACAGTGGCCAGTCGCCCACATTTGTAAAATCACTCGCCTGAAAAGAGTGAAAGAAAAACATTCAATTACTATCTCAATGCGACACACACAAGTCATCGTGCGCACAAAAACCACCCAATTTCCCGCACCATTTCGCAAAAAGACCCTCGGGGACCCAAATAATCATCTCATCAGAAAACCGTTCATTGAGTAATGAATGATTTATGGTATGATTGAGGCAGGGATCAAGAGACAGAGTGGATTCCATTGGACTTTTGCACACAGAACCAAGAAATTTTCAGTAAGAATAACGATTCCCAAACTCCAACTGGAATTTGTACACGTGAATGATTAATTACCCAACGTCAGCTCATGGGGAGCACAAGACATTCCTACACACACAGAGATCTCTCCCCTAATCAGCCATCAAGTGATCCCACACTGACAGGAAGATTTCTTCCTGATCACGAACCACACACGCAACTCAGCATGTTTACTTTCCTACCATGCTTTTACTCATTAATTCACAATCGAATGATTTATTCTTCCAAGTCCAGATAAATGGACACTTGAGATCGTCACTGCTTCTGGGCAAATTTCAATTCAGCAACACGGAGATAAATCAATTTACTATGATTGGGGAAAATCCCTACAATCGCAATACAGTAAAGAATCTCTGTGATAACAAGTAATCTAATCATTATGGTTTGAAAATAAAAAAAACTGACCCCACTAAATCTTCCCTTTAGCTACCTTCCCACCCACAGACTACGGCGTCATTCGCAGCTCTCGTGGTCAGCGATAAGATACCCTCTGGCAAAGGGTATAAAAGTGCCACGACACCTTGTCCAGCCAATACACTTTGTCAGTGAAGTTTCCCGTGAACATGAATCGCTTCCTTGCAACTCTCGCCGTGCTGTGCGTGGCTTTCGCCGCCGCTCAAGCCAGTAAGTCTCCCACAAGGTCTCTCTCTCTTCCGCCTGACCAACATTCTCTGCTCCACAGCGTGTCCCACGATCATCACCCGCGCCCAGTGGGGAGCTCGTAACGCCAACACCGCCGCCCTGCCACGCGTGCCCGCCCCATTCGTTGTGGTGCACCACACTGCCGGCGCCTTCTGTTCCACGCAGGCCGCCTGCTCCCAGCAGATGCGCAACATCCAGGGATGGCACATCGACGGCAACGGCTGGGCTGACATCGGTTACAACTTCTGTGTCGGCGAGTGCGGTCTCGCCTACGAGGGTCGCGGCTGGCGTCGTCAGGGCGCACACGCTCCCGGATACAATAACCAATCCGTCGGCGCCTGCGTTTTCGGCAACTTCACTTCCCGCAACCCCAATGCCGCTGCTCAGCTTGCCCTTCAGCGCCTCATCAACTGCGGCGTTGGCGGCGGACACATCGCCACCAACTACTGGCTCATCGGACATCGTCAGGCCGTCGCCACTGCCTGCCCTGGAGACGCCTTCTTCAACCTCATCCGCACCTGGCCACGTTTCAACGCCAATCCCAGACCTTTGTAAATCTCACCCCAACTTGGCTACTGAACTACGCATCGCCCTTCGGACTACTTATCATCTGCAGCACAGAAGCAATGTGACGTTGTGATAAAGATGGGAGAAATACAGAGTAAACTTTTCTAACAAGTTTCTTTCGCAAGCATATTTTTGAGTTTTTCAAAAAAACACCCTTAATGGATTATGTTCTAGAAAATGTAGTTAGCATTGATCTGTTATCAATTCTGGAGAATCTTTGCTGCTAAATTAAAAACTCTTCAAAATGGTTGAATTTTTTTTCCAGAAAATGAATCGCACTTTTACAATTTCAAATCGCAATTCTTTAGAGTTGAGATCCTCACATATTTCTCTATAAAGAGTATCTTGAAGAAAGACAAAAATATCTCGCTGATAATAAATTATTGTTATCTCGCGGTCCACAAAAGAAAACTGTAGTAATTTCAACAATCTATGCGTATTTTATTTTAAGATCAGTGCTTCAATTGCTTAAAAATTCCTTTAAGGATGGATTACAGATAACATAACATGCAAAAATATATATTTCCAACCAATGATAATTTCTGTGAATTTAATTTTTCGTGAACTCTCAAATGCAGCACGTGCAAATAATCACTTCGATAAGAATTTACATAAATGCCAGTATCGAGTTTATTCATTCCCAGAACTCTTTAATGGCTTTATATATTTTCCCCGGTGACTTTTGTGGCAATTGCACTAGTTTAGATAACGAAATCATGTACAAAACCACAGGGAGCACTCAATTATCCAATAACGATTGCGATAAAAACCGATCGCGTACACTTTTTCCAACCTTGCTGGGGAGGGAAATTTTCGACGTGATCAATGTGAAACGTCGACATTTACATAGAATGGGGCGCGCGCGCTTGAGGAACTCTCAGATTGCCTCTTTCAACGACTTTTCACGGTGTGCGAGAGAGAAAATTGTGAGCGATAAGACTCGCGTACAAGACTTGACCAATGGAGTTTCATTTTTGATAAACGAAATCATCGATAGAGACGTCCCAAGGTGATAAAAAGGTTGATTTTCCATACAACTAATTTACCTTATTGCTTTTGTGTTGCTGCTGCTGTTTCTCCTCTTTGAGGATCTTGGCAATATTGGGTGTTTCCGGTTGAATGGCAACTTCCTGGACTTTGGGCTCGTTCTCAGGTGCTGCAAGATCAGAGAAAAATCACTTTAGTTTGTCAAAATTCCCACCAATTTTTTACACGTTTTCGACAGAAACCTTTCGACTGCTCTCCAACTATCCGGGTCTTTTGCTGCTCTTTCGGCTGCAGAATTCTCTTACTCTTGAGCACATCTACATCCGGCGCCACTTCTGTCTGATTCTGAATCTGTCGGCGATGGAAGAAAATAAAGTGTGTTAGCACCGGATGGAATTTCAGTGAATTTCTAGTATTTGAACAAGTGTCAACAGCAACACACTTCCACGTTTTCAACTCACCTTCCATGCATTCACTGTGGGAATTGGAGCCTCCACGAATTTCTTCGGTGCCTCCTCCTTAGGCGTCTTCTCCTGCCCCCCATTGGCCCCATTCGTAGTCACATCTGCCGCAGATGTACTTCCGTTGGCCGGCACTTTGCCATTCTTCGCCACCGCGGCCTTCCGGTCCGCTGCCGGTGCCTGCTTTGGCTCCGGCTTGGCGGCCGCCTTCAGTTGCTGTCGCTTCTCCTTGCGGCGCTCCTTCTTCGTCAAGGATGCCACGGGAATGAAGCTGTCGTCGTCCTCCGGTTCACCAGCGGGCGCTCCTCGAGCCTCCCGAGGAGTTGTGGTGTCGGCGGTGCGTGGCGCCTCCTCGGCCACCTTGTCCCCCAGGACGTTCTCCTTGTTATTGTCGTTGCGCTGCTTCATCTCCACCAGGGAGTGTCCGCTGCCCGCCTTCAGACTGTTCACCACGTTCGCGTAGGATGAGTTGGCCGGCGCTGTCGATGTGCCATGGTGTGACGGCTGATTCTCGCTCGACGGGTTCAATGTGGTGCTCTTCTCCAGCGTTTTCGTTGCCATAACCTTAAAACAGAGAGACACAGTGACACACTGACATTAGCGAGTCTAGCCGAAGACGGGGCGACCGCAGGGCGCTCCGGGGGTCTCCGCACTGCGCCGGAGGGGCGAAGGGAGACACTAGTGGCTGGACTGGGGGGCGGTGGAGCGGAATATTCACGGGAGAATGGGTGAAATGCTGGAAAATCGGTCGTCGATTGGCGACAGTGGGCATAAAAGTGTGAAGAGATTACACAATAAAGTACATACTTCTCACGTTTGTCGCTGTGTTTGTAGGCTGTTTTTACGATGCCGCCCCTCTCGCTCGCACTCCCGGGCAGCCTTCTCTGTCTATCTCCTCCCTCCCAACGAGATTATCGGGAGAGAAAATGTAATATTCAACACGACACGATCACCGCGACGTGTTATGAGCACACCATGACTGGGGGCGCTACTGTTCCATCCACGCCGCGCAGCCCGGCGATTCCTGGCCAATCGCTCACGCCACGGAGATCCTGATCGTGCTCCTCAACGCAGTTCACCCAACGAAAACCTCCGCCACTGTGTTGGTGTGTTGTGCAAAAAGTCACTCTCTCTCTCTTTCTCTTTCTCTCTCGCTCTCACGCTCTCGCGCTGGCCGGAGACACGAGTGTCCGGAAATGGACACGAAACAGGCGCCCCCACTGCACTCGCAAGTCGCCACCAGCGTGCGAAATCCGCGAGTTGGGAAGAAGTGAACAAAAGTGTGCCTCTCGCTCGCTCGCCCCCCGAAAAAAGAACGTCACAACTCGCGACACGAACCCGAAAGGTGCAAACTATTTTTCCACCAGTGATAACCACTTTTCGTGGCCTTTCACCCCTTTTCACGGGTCACTTGCACGCGCGCACACACAGATGAGATGCCAAGCGTCAATAGGAGACACTTTTCACCGCTTTTCACACGCTAAACTCGCGATTTTCCACAGAATTAATACAATTTCTTGCGCACACTTCCATGTGGTTATGTGCCGAAAGGAGACCGATTTTTGACAAACGCCAAATTTCTACCCGAATGGCGGCCGTTCACCGCCCACGGCGACATCTGCAATCGCATCGCTCGCTCCACGAGGGATTTTCCCAATCAAACTCCCCGATATTGCTCAATTTTCCGAAAGCAAGAATCTCTAAAGCAATTTTAGATTTATCATTTGGCCACCAAATTTCCCTTCGGTGGAAGAAATCATGCTAATTCATATAAGCAATATTGATATGATTGACAACTTTCTCTATTCGCCACCAGAGCGTGAGATTTGAAAAGCTATCCGTTGGGCCTACTTCCCCCCAATCCTGGTAGCTAGAGGAATCCTCAAGAGACCCATTTCCTTAGTGCCCAGTGCGCATGCTTGTACCTTCTGCGGATAATGTGCTCTAGTGCTTGAGGTTTTATACTTTTCCATCAATTTCCAACCACAATTTCCGCATAAATGTACATTGTAAGTGTCTCTGAATCCACATTGAAGCATTCCCAATCCAAATATCTACCTTTTGCAGAAGGAGTCCAGGAGAAGAGTCCTCAATCCCAACTGTGGTGAGTATGCGGCAGTAGAATGCCCAGGGGAAAGTAACAAGTTTCCCCCCTTTGCAGATTATCCGAAGAAGAATGTCCACAATGTGGCGGAGAAGTGGTCCGTTGTGGGACTCCTGATGATCTTCATCTGCTGGCAAATCTCCCTGACAATCTATCAATGGAGCCCCGCTGAGGGCAGTCTCTCAGAACAGGTGCGTGAGAGCTTGAGAGTCCTAAATGAGCGCCTGCGGAACAAGGAAATCAACACAACGCTTGATTTCCTCAAGGAAGAGATCTCCAGGATCGAGAAAAATGCCCACAAAGAGCAGAGAATCACTGCTGAAACTGCAATAGTGTCTGGATCGTATCATAGACAGCATTCGACGAGAGTTTATCACAATATTGAGGCCGTATCAGTGAAAATAGATGGAGAAAGTAGGAATTCCTTCCTTGTCGTCTTCGGGAGTGAACAGATATTATATGATTCCACTTTGAAGAGTGGTCACGAGGCGGCAAATCTGTGCGCAGCACTGGAAATATTGCGATCTCTTACTCAAAGTGAGAAGAAGCCTAAAAATTCCCTCATCTTCCTCTTCGGCGGCCTCCAGGAATTCCTAAGCGAGGAGAAAACACATCTCTGGAAGAAAGATATTCGTGGAGCGGTGTTTATTCCTCATCTTGGTGCCGATGGTCGACATACAGTGCAATTCACTGAACAGGATTCGCACTACTTAGTCAATTCTTATGCTAAAGGCACTCCTGGCGCCAGCACTCAAGCTGCCCTGGAGGACTTTGCTCACCTGACAGGCCTTGCACGGGACTACGGTCTCAGGTTTTCATCGGAGAAGCTCAAAGTCCCTGCCATGAGCTTCATTCCGCAGGAAGAATTCTTCCACAGCACAAAATTCGATTCCGTCAATTCAGTCTCCTCGTCCGGACTCCAGAGGCTGGCCAGGAGCGTCCTGGCGCTCCTCAGGGATCTCTCCATGTTGCCTCGAGTGGAATTCCAGTCGCCAGGGATTTACTTCGACTTCCTGGGCGTCACTGTGATGCACATCAGTCGCCCTTTGGCTGCTTTCTTCGTCCTCCTAATCGCCATCCTGGCTGTGGCAGTGCCGTTCGCCTCCCTTGCGCACTCCACGAGGGATTTCCACGCGAGATTCATCTGGATTGAAGCACTGTCGACTTTTATCTCCGCCACGATGGCCGTCTTCGTAACAGCAACTGTGATCTACGCGATCGCGGTGAATCTGGACGCTAGCGGGAAACCGATGTCCTGGTACGGAAGCCACTGGCTTTCTCTGGGCCTCTACAGTGTCCCCACACTGGCTCTCCTCTGCTTCATCCACATCCGCAAGGCGAATCCCGAGGCGCCCATCAGTCTTGGCCTGAGAGTTCAGAGCGCTCTGCTCGGCATCAATATCGCATGGATTGTGGTCACCGCGGGACTTCTGATCAGCGGCTACAGACTCTTCTACCTGCCCACAATCCTCCTGGCGCTCTCTTTGATCCCAACAATCGCAATTTGGCTGTTCAATCTTCAAAATACAGGTAAATGCTCAAGCCATGCCTAAAACACTCTCTCAGCGCGACTCATTTGCATTTCTCAGTAAATCTGTGGCTGTACGTCCACCTCGCTGGCCAAATGATCATCATGACGTGGACCAGTTTTGTCTACCACACCACAATTCACATGCTAATCCCAAGGACTGCCACTCTCGGAGCCACGCTCAATCCGGACTTGGCCATTGGAGCCGTTTGCGCCACTTTCACATTCTTCACCACCAGCTACATGGTGAGTCGCCGCCACATGCTTTCGGCCAGCGGGGCTCAAAAGAGCATTCAGCATGCAAAATGGAAAAAAATTGTTCTCTAGTTCTTCCGGCATTGCTTCCTGATATATGCTAGAATGTCGCTTTTTCTGCAGAATAGCTCAAAATACATTCGCTATGATATCTTATCGCGTTCACAGGTGCCCTTGACGCTGCTGCTACCCCAGCGGAAGCACCTGGTTTACGGCCTGATGGGGACTTTTCTCGTCTTTCGTCTCATCCTGGCCAACAGTGGACTTGAGTTTCCCTACAGAGACGTCTCACATTCGCCGCCGAAGCCTCAGAGACTCATCTTGATGGTAACCTTAAGGCGCAATCTCAACGAATGACCCAATAAATTAATCAATAATCTTTATTTCAGCACACTTTGAGAACATTCTACGATACTGGCGGCAGAATCAGGTACACAGATTCGGGATTCTGGATGCAGGAGCTGGACAGGAACTCCAGAAAGACTCTGGAGAGTCTCTCAGCACCTGGAATGCCAATTCCACAAAACGACGCTGATCTCTGCGCCATCGATGTCGCCTGTGGCCTTCCTTTCCACCACGAGGATCAGCTGAAAACAGGAGGATTCTGGCTTCCAGCATCCGGACCTCTGATTCGGGATCACACACACCTGAAGCTGGAGTCCAGAAAGGTTGTCACTCCTGTTGTGCATCAGCTGGACTTGTCGCTGATCCCCAAGAGAGAAATGGCTTTAATGATTCGCCCGAGGGCGAATGTCTCTCTGATCCAGTGGACTTTCAGCCGGGAAATTCCGCCCATGAGAGACTTTATCAGTGACAAAAGTCACTTTGTCACCGTTGAGAGTAGTTTTCCCGGGAATACGCTCAATTTCACGCTCACACTGAAGATCGCAGAAGGTTCTGCACCAGAAGTCCTCCTGGACATCCTTTTGGTGGCCATATTCAGGAATCTCTCGGCTGAATTTACACCCACATTCACGAACATGCTCGTGAAGATTCCGCCCTGGGCATCGGCGTCAGCCGCCTTGGCCACAGTTAAGAGTTACACATTTTGAAGAGAATTTTCCAGGTTTTACAAAAGAAATCTCAGCACATTTTACAGGTTTTTTCCACCTCTTGCAATTGTACGCTTTTAAACAATTCCAGCAATTTTTCCAACATCTCAAACAATTCTAGGCGTAGAAAAAAAATTTAATATCTATTGATAAATTTGTGACGTTTTTATTGAAACCCAGTTTGAGGCAATACGTTAAAAATAAAAATTTAAAAAGAATTGTTACGCGCGAATGAAGAAGACTTTTGTGCTATGTACAAGAAATATATACAGAAAATGCATTATTTATCCCTTGTTTTTCTGCAAGTGCGGATTTGCCTTGAGGTCATCGGCACGGTTTTGGGCACTCTCCGAATTGATGTACTCGTGGTACTCAATGAAGCCGTCCTTATTCCTATCCATCATTCCCAGAACACTCTCCACAATCGTCTCCAGTTGGGCGTCCGTGTACGTTGCCGCCTGAATGTCAGGATCGCTCGGGATTTCGTCTGTTTGTTTTTTTCAAGTCGTGTTTTTGCATCACAAGGAAAATTCGTCCAAAGAGACACATTTTAGAGAGAGTGAACAGCAAAATCACAGAGAAGAGGAAAATAGAGAAGGAAAACACTACAAAATGATAGGCTTTCAGCTACAAGAGAGAAGATCCTTCACCACAATCTACAATGCGAAGTGAACGGGGAAAAAGAGCACAACAACAAAACTTAACAATTGGAAAAAGGATTCTTTATCTTCTTTTATAATCTCTCCATGGGAATGTCACAAGAAACTATATCAATTAAATTATATTGGCCGGCAGGAAAACGAAAAAAAAAGTCTGTACAACGCAAAAATGAGATGGTGAGAGATTCTGAGCAGAGCTGGAAGATTCAGGAAGTGAGAAACAGCGTCAGTCTCTTTCTCTGCAGATCCGTTTTGTCAAGAATATTGTCACGTGTCGGTCGATCTGCCCTTAAGCTCTCTTACGGCCTTTGTTGGTGGCTGGCCGCCTTCTGCTGCGCCTTAATGAACTCCGGATAGTCAATGTAACCGTCGCGACTGAGATCGTCCATCTGCAGGATGGGATCAATGAGGGCCACGAGCTCCTCGTCGGAGAACAACTTCTCCTCAACCTGAGGCTGGCCCTCGCGGTGCTCTTTGCTTCCCTGTTCTGCACAGCGAAAGCATGCGGAAATCAAGCGCCCCAATGACAGGAAGGATGTGTGAAAAGCATCAGACATCACGCGAGAGAGAAACAATTAGAGACAAATACTCGGGAGGGCGAAATCTACGGACTTACCGTGCCAGTGAATTAGAGACTTTATCAGCTCGCATCCGTCCAGTTTGTTGTTATTGTCCGAATCGTGCATCTTGAAGTAGTGAAACTGAAGCTCCTGCTCAGACATTTTGCTAGTGTCGATCGGCACCTCCAAGTGCTCCTTGATGTGACTGCAAGTACAGTAAATTGCCGTTAATGTTTCTCTTATCGCATCACTTTTCAACCGTGAAAAGTCTGGACTTGTTTGCAATGGCAAATTATCTTTCTGTTTGCTTTCATAACTCTTGAGATTTGCTCTTTTCAGCTGAATAAATATAATTTGTATCTTGAGAGGAATGTTAGAATATCGGAAATTTTCCGATCATAGAGACGAAAAATACTAATAATGAAACACAGAATATTTTCAGTTGTCTCAATACTATCTTTTGAATTGAACCATCTTCTGAATTTATGCGACTTTTGTAATTTTTTGTGCTTCCTTCCTTTCGCTCTATTTTTTGCGCTTTAGATTGTCTTTAATTCAGTTTAAACCAGTTTTTTTTTAATCGCCTTATGCATAAATCATTCTAGTTGAAATTTCTGTGCGAATTACAGTTATAATCCGAAGGGAAGGCTAGAAAATTTGTGCGATTTTAAAATATTCCTCTCTGGACCACGCGTAGAAAATTCACGTAAAAAACAGCCTCTTTAATCTTTAAAGGGCCCGAGAAATGCGAAAGAAACGAGATGGAAACCCTTCAAATGTCACTCACTCTCTTTCCTCTTGGATGTTGCCGGGATTGAGGACTTGTGGCGGCTGGCCGTGCTGTCCGTGCTGTGCGTGTTGCCCGTGAGGCTGGTGATGTCCCTGCGGGGGCGCCTGATGGTGCTGAGGCGGAGGCTGCTGGTGATGCTGGGGCGGAGGCTGCTGGTGCTGGACATTTGGCGGCGGACCGCCGTGCTGGCCATGCTGTGGCTGCTGATACTGCTGATTAGGCACTTGCTGTTGCTGATACTGTGGCACCTGCTGCGGGGGTGGTTGCTGAAATCATATTTCACAAGCAATTAGGAAAATTCCGAGAAACTCTTGGTCCAGTCGACAAAGTCCGTGAGGAGGAAAAAGTGAAAGTCTTGCGGTGTTCGCCAATTTCTCAAGCATTTCCATGACCTCGACAATTGATAGCGGGATTAAGCGGCGGGAAATTTCCCATGTTATCACTAAAGCACACTTTCCTCGTCACGAACAAGCTGGACCAGTCAAAAATACCCACGTATTGATTTGGTGGCACTCCAGGAGCGACTCGCTGACTCAGCGCAACGTGCAGGAAAGCCAGGAAAATCACTGGTTTCACACTCGACAGGGACTTCATGTCACTGCTCTTGGTCGGCGAACATGCAAATGAGTCAGGAAGCCGGAGAAAATTGCGGAAAACTTGCTCAGTTCTTGTCGCGTTGGAACTTTGTGTGTTTGGCAATTTTTTCACTACACCTGTCATAAAAGTGGCGGCAGGTTGCCCACCCCTGGCTCGCAACTGCCACTATTGTCCGCTGCGATCGCTAGTGGTGGTGGTGTTTTTCTTCGGCAAGAAATTTAGCAGCGTCTGCTTTTCTGAAGTTTTCCTCGCATTCCAAAGCTGAAAATTGCTGAGAAGTATGCACGAGAAGGCGAAGCACGCTTCAGACTCCCGCCGAGATGATGGAGTTGAACTGGAGACGCAGTTGATCTTGAGAATTCCCGAGGTGAATTTCATAACCTCTTTGTCTCGAAGTCAGTCTCTGATGATTGTGTTTTCCTCTCCAGGAGCCAGCTAAAGCCCTCCGAGAGGCCATTCAGCAAGGCGCCAACAATCTCAAAGATCGCCTCAACATCCGCCTTGAGAACGACATTCGCTATGGCGAAGTTCGCTTCGACAACTGGTATTTGTACGCCAAAGTTGTCGATCTACCCACAGTCATCGAATCCCTGAAGACAATTGACAACAAGAGCTTCTACAAGACGGCGGACATCTGCCAGATGATGATCTGCAAATTTGAGCCAGAACTCCCGACGCCCGTGGAAGAGGAGTCGCCCAATAAGAACAAGAAGAAGGACCCGAACAAGGTGGACAAGAAGTTCCTCTGGCCGCACGGCGTCACGCCTCCGTGCAAGAACATCCGTAAGCGCCGCTTCCGGAAGACGCTGAAGAAGAAGTACGTTGAAGCGCCTGAGATTGAGAAGGAGGTGAAGAGACTTCTGCGGTCAGATAATGACGCTGTGAGTGTGAAGTATGAGATCATCAATGAAGAGGAGGAGCGCAAGCCGGGCGATAAGCCATCCGGGGGCAAGGCAGGAGGATCCAGGGAGGCTAAGGGCAAGGCTGCGCAGAAGAATGCGAGGGACGCTGAGGGAATGAGCGGCTCTCAAAGTCTGGACGTGGGAGAGCACGACATTTTCGGTGGCGAAGTCTCGTCTTCCGAAGATGAGGACAATAACATCAACGTGCTGGACTTGGATGAGAACAGTCGCTTGTCAGCTGATGATAGTCGCTTGTCGGACTCGAATTCCATGCATCTGGACCAGGAATTGAGTCGCGGAGAGTTCAACAGTCATCAGAAGGGATCTGCAATTGGACTGGATCAAGCTGGACCTTCGGGCGTTTCCCATCGCCGGGACTTTTATGATGATCGTCACGACTCTGACAACGAAGGTGAGTATCGTGAGGGAAGTCATGCGAGGATTAGCGAGCTCAGACAACAGTTGGACGAGCTTCGCCTTCAGAGGATGCAAAAGGAGCAGGAAATCTCTTCGATTGAGAATCAAACGCTGCGACAGAGGATGCAAGACACGCTGGATAGCGTTGTCAGGCAGATTCACAGCAAGGAGTTGGAAGTGCAGGAGCTTGAGGGCATCGTGATGCCGTGAAAAGTCTGGATTGTTCGCTAAGTACTTGCATTTCCCGCATATTTCACAGAATTAAAGGCAACGTTTTGCTAAAACCTACGATAGAGAGAGAGATTGTGTTCTCCTGGGAATAATTGGAGCTAGTCTGAAGGATCTTATAGATGCCCATTGGTCGTATTGATGAAAAAGGGATCGCTTTTGAGCTTGTAAAATTCTGGTGTGTCGAGGAGTTTGTCTGAATCCGCTACATCTTGCTGGATTGCCTTCTTGAGGTTCTCCAGCGTGGTGAAATTGGCCTCTGGCCTGAGGTAATGCGCCACGCAGACTTTCAGCGTCTGATCATAGAAATCCTGCGGGAAAGTGTGAAGGATATGCGTTTCCTGGAACAGCAAAAGATCTCTTAATGCGCCATTCGAAGCAATTTGTGAGGTACGAACCATCGATTTCTCTTTATTGTCGAAGAAGGGATTCCATCCCACGCTCATGACCATTTTATGGACATCTCCGTTCGCCACTTGAGCCCAGCCGCAGTAAATTCCAGTGGCAAAGTCCGCAGGCAGCGCTCTCACCACCTCCACAGGGTAATTGGCTGCAAAAATGATGGCGAATTGCCTTAAATTCTCCAGCAGAGTCATCAAAAGGTCTCACCTGTGGGAAAGCCAAGTTCCGTGCCGCGCCGAAAGCCACGAATCACCTTCCCGGACGTGAAGAGAGGCAGAATCTCCTTCACCAGCATTTCACGTGGGCACAATTTCACAATCACGGTCGCAAGTCATACAATATCTTATCGAGAAGTTTCACTCCTCACCATGATTTTACAGACTGACCAGTGCGACTCATTGTAGTTAATTGAAATGCGGTCATGCGGTGCCAGGGAAAAAAATTGCTGAACTGCTTCAGTACTATTTAGCTTGATGAATTTCCCAATGGAGAGAGTGACCGTGAGTTGCCGCAATAAGTCGAACTGCCTCGCGAACAATGGAACCCATTCGTGGCTTCTTAGATTCCTGCTGTGGCAAATATGACTGTGTCGCGCGACAGATTTGACTACAAGCCAGAAAATATAGATACTATTTTCATGCAAGGTAAGCAATCAACTACTCACTGAGCAGCGTTAACATTTTCTGTGCAATCTGGGCTTCATGTTCTCTTTCAGCAAATGCAAATAGCTGGAACTGCGCAAGATTGAGCGAGATCCGAAGAACTGACAATTTCATGACGGCGCGTCAACTTCCCTATCTTCAGTACACACCACTTCGCCAGAGATACTAGGTCAGGAGGAGATATCTCTGTCGGCTTCCCTCGGCTGGAATTCCATCTAGATAAGTCGGATCATGAGCAGATGCGAAGAGACTGGTGCCAAAAAGTGTCGAACTTGCTTGGAGGAATGCAAAGAATCGGTTTCTCTGTTCCAGCTTGCAGAGATTTCCAGGAGAATATCAGATGTGGCATCCTTTCTCAAGGAATTGACTGATCTTGAAGTACATTAGCGCACAAGGTGAATTCCTAAGGAGTAATACTGATGAAATCTTTCCCTTGCAGATCACCGAAGATGACGGTTTGCCGGCTTTCGTCTGCCTGGAGTGCTTGGATAAAATCACCAGCGCTCTGGCATTCAAGGACATGTGCATAACATCAGATAGTATCCTTCGTGGTGATTCGAGAACGAAGACTGAAGAAAATTCCGTTGGACAGCAAGTTGGGGGCGAAGAAACTCCTCGAAGGGGTGTCAAGAGGAAGAAAACCAGCAGCAAAGGCAGGAAGAAGGCTTCCAAAAATGAGCCTTCTTACAAGTGCAACATCTGCTGCAAGATCCTCAGCAACTCAGGCTCCTATCGTTATCACATGCGCCTACATTCGGACGAGACTCCGTATCTGTGCAGCCAATGTGGTGAGAAGTTCAAGACCAGGAACGCCTATGATGGTCACATGATGACGCACAACTCCAACAATCCGCACACCTGCAACATTTGCGGCAAGTCCTACAGGCAGGCAGCTTCCTTGCGATGCCACGTGCTGAACCACACTGGCGAGAAGCCCTTCCTGTGCGTCGTCTGCGGGAAGGGCATGACGCAGAAGAGTGGCTACAAGAAGCACATGCTCACGCACACAGGAGACAAGCCTCACCAGTGCGACATCTGCAACAAGAGCTTCCGGTACTCGAGCAATCTGCACGTCCACAGACGATCGCACAGCAACACGAAGCCCTACATTTGTAATGTGAGTGGAATCTCCTCCGTGAAGGTTTCTCACACAATCCATTAAGCACGCATCAATTTATCACGCCGATCTTTGCAGGAGTGCGCCAAGAGGTTCCACACGAAAGAGCAGCTCAAGCGACACGTTCTCATCCACACAGGAACGAAGCCTTATGCCTGTGACTTCTGCAGCAAATGCTTCAACCGGCGCAGCACGCTGAAAGTGCACAGATTCCTGCACACGGGCGAGAGGAAGTACAAGTGCACGCTGTGCCCCAAGAGCTACATCCAGCAGCACTGCCTGGTGAGTCACATGGCCACGCACGGTGGGAGGAAGTCCGCGCAGTCGAGCGAAAGCCAATCTAGTGTTTAGAATCTGGACTAAGGTCGATTTATTCCGTGAAGTATTCGAATGCTAACAATGCTAAGTAGTAAATTTTTCTCTAAAATATAAGAGGATTTCATCTCGAATATCGCTAAATTCCTGGGTGAGATACAAAGGTGTAATTTCAGGGATCCTACTGATGGATTTGGGAAAGGCTCTGATATTCACTTAAGCTTGAGTTTGTCCGCCAGCGAGCACGTGAGACCCGTGCCGTCCGGCTCGACGTTCAGGGCTGTCACGACGCCGTCCTCGATGACCATTGAGTAGCGCTTGGAGCGCAAGCCGCCCAGCGGCGGCAGATCCACGCCCAAGTCCACCGCCTTGGTGAACGCGCCGCACGGATCGGCCAGCATGCGCACCTTTCCGCCGGCTGCGTGGTCCTTGCCCCAGGCGGACATCACGAAGGGGTCGTTCACGGACACGCACACGATCTCGCTCACGCCTTGGCCCTTCAGCTCCTCCGCCTTGTCCACGTAGCCCGGCAAGTGCGTCTTGGAGCAGCCCGGAGTGAAGGCTCCCGGCACAGCGAACAGGATGACCTTCTTGCCGCGGCACAAGTCCGCCGTGTTGACCTTGTTCGCCGGCGAATCCTCGAACAAATCCGCGCCGGGCAGCTTGTCACCTTCCTGTTGCCACGCAAAGAGCGTTCGGTGTATGAATATTTAACAGTTAGTCAAACAATTCAAGGTAAATTGCGGGGCATTAAAATTTCATAGGTATATTCCCACAGAATCGATGCTGGGCCAGCATCGGTTTTGGGGTCAATAGGAGAGAGATTTCTCCAGCATCTCACGAGATAATCGTCACGATTTCGCTACAATCTCCAACACTACGAAAAACCACTTCTGTTGACTCTATTGAACAATCAGAACAATCGCAGTTCTTATCAGTGTTGGGCATTTTTTCAATTGCCCATTTGTTATGTAACGCCGCGTTTAATTGCCCAACAAATTACTGGCCGCACTTCGGCGACAAATTACCTTGATCTGGACCATTCTGGATGTGGAGATTGCCCTGCAGAAGCTCACTGCGATGCGTCGCGTTAGGAATAAACTTGGCGAATGCATTGTTCGCTCCCTCAAATCGATGCCTACTCACTTCGGATCCCCAAACCGGCCCCACTGTCACTCTTCGGCAGATCTCGCGAGGGCAGCCTTGGGCCGCGCTTTGCGCAATTCTTTACGCGGCAGCGTGTAGTGTGTAGAAAAGTCGTGGAAGGAAGAATGGACCGATTTAGAGACTTATCTGGACTTCACACAACATGGAACAGAAGTAATGAGAAGTTGCGCGAAAGGACAGTTGCAAGGATTGAAACCAGAGAGGTGAATATGAAGTCCCATTAGGTTATATTGTAACGTTCAGACTAGACTTGACTTATAAATTATTTCCATTAGTTTTTCAATCCTTCAATTCCAATTTCAAGATTCGTTCTCTTCAGTCATCTTCAAAGTCTTCAAGATCCTCTTCAAGGCTTACGAGATCCATTCGTTTCTCATCATGTTCTCTATCACTGCGATGTGTTTTTCGATATGATCCTCAATATCATCTATATCATCAATCAGATCTTCACTGAAAGGAAAGAGAAAAGGACTAGATAATCAAAGCTCTATAGCATAAGTTATTAAGTGCAATACTCACATCTCATACTGCAGATCCAAGAAATCGCAATTTAATTCCTCGCCCTGCTCCGCCAACTTCACCTTCAGGACCTCAATCTTGGCGCGGTTTTGAAGTGATTTTTCGCGCATCTGAAGCAACTTATTGCGTATTTGAAGTAATTTTTCAATTTTTATTTGCAATTCCTCCAATGATAGCTGTGCCATGTCTGAGTGAATTGAGTCAGGGAATTAGAGGAAATCCACAAATGATGGAAGAATAACGATAAGATCTCAATAAATGCACTTACCGCAGCAAAATATTCCTTTCTCACTTTTCTGTGCTTGTGAAAAAGGTCACAGAGATTGATCAAAAATTGACACAGAAGTTCAGTCAATTATTGAGTAGTGAAAAAGCCCGGTTTAAAGCAACAGTTACATTGATAATGTCACGAACAATTTGGCCCATTTGGATCGATTTGGGATCGCTAAACTGACCACAGTCAACAATCCCTTCCTCACTGCGATTGATACACAAAATTTCAGCACCTCAAATGCCATTTGATTTCTAATTTGATATTTTTATTACGAATACTCTGAATTAACACATGAAATATATAGAGATAATTAATTGTATGGTTACCCTAAAATAAATCTGTAGAAAATAGACTGCAATAAATAAACTCAGGACTTTAAAATTACACGAAAAACCATTCCTTCAGTTCTGGAGGAACAAACACATGGTGAGGAATGTTCTTCGACGCTCTCTTCGGTGACTTTGGGGTGAGAATCCAGCTCTGGATGAGCGGGATTCGCAATCTCTCTGGTATTTACAATAAATAGAAGACAATCTGAGCTCTCTCGGATGGCAATAAATTCAAGATGCTGGACATTGATAGAATTTCTCGATAAAACATTCAGTAAAATGACTCTTTTGGGAGGAATAAAATCCCTTCAGTTTGGTGTGGTGTTTCGCTTAGGCGTCGATGGGGGCAAATCCATGGTTTTGCACACCCATCCGGCAATGTCCACGTCCTCGCGCTCATTCTTGATCCACGGGTGGTTCTGGAAAGCAGAAGAATCTCAGTTCAGTTTCTAAGGCAATAAAGAGTGGCCTGAAAACTTACCATCAGAGTCTTGAGATCTGCCCTCTCGTCGGGGTTCTTCTTCAGGCATTTATCAACAAAGTCTTTGAACTCCTCTGAGAAGATCTTGTGCTCCAGCTTCGGCGGTGGCTCGTTGACAATGTAGTCCAGGAGTTCGAAGATTGCCATCGGCTTGGGCTCGATGATGGAAGAACTGCTGTCCTCGCCATTCTCCCCGAAGATCGACTCCAGCATCTTGGCGTCCGGCGGCGGAATTGGATACATTCCGATCGCCATCTCGACCAGCGACAAGCCCAGCGACCAGATGTCAGATTGCACGGAATAGTGTGTGCCTTGGAGTCGCTCTGGCGACATGTAACTCCGCGTGCCCACGAAGGAATTGGCCATGGAGTCGATCAGCTGTCCAGACACACCGAAATCACAAATCTTGATCTCGCCACTGCTGTTAACGAGAATGTTGCTCGGCTTCACGTCCCTGTGCATGATGGCGTGCTTGTCCCGCAGATAGCTCAGTCCTTTGAGCACGGCGGCGGTGATCTTGGCCAGAATCGCCTCGGGAATGCGTCCGGCGCGCTTCAGAATTAGGTCCAGAGAGCCTCCGTCCATGTATTCCATGCAAATGCTGATTTCACCGTCATTCGTGAAGGCCCCGTAGAAGCCCACGATGTGCGGGAAGTTGCACTCGTGCAGCACCTTCAGCTCCCTGATGATCTGCTTCTTAATTGCCGGCTTCACCTCCAGATGAATCAGCTTGCGCGCCATGATGAGCTGCGTGGGAACATGACGCACTTTCATCACCACACCGCCATTGCCGGAGCCCAGCTCGCCCAGTTTCTCCAGATCCTCGTCGCTCAGCTCCCCGATCTTCTCCTTCTGGCTGAGGAACACCTTGATCCTCTTGCGCGCAGTGTCGTCCATCTCTAACTCCTCCAGAGTCTCCGTCAGAGCCTCGATGCTGGTCTTCTGCTTCCCGAACATCTGTCGGTTCATGTTTGACGGATTCGGCGAGAAGGGACTGCAACAGACATCGCACAATCAGTCGGGCGAGAGCCCCCAGGCTCCAGGGAATGTACTCACTCTGAACTCGAGGGCGTCCGAATCGGCGGAGTTGACTGGGACTGCGGTGGGGCGGCCGAAGCTGTCACTGCTCCCGGCGGCAGAACCAGCCCGAATTTGTTCTTCGTCATCTTACTCATGATTCTGCGGCCGCACTTGCTCACATACGTCGCAAACTGATGCACAGATTCCACCCCGGCGGATTTTTTGAGCCCCAAAATGCGAGAATAAAAGGATTTTTTCCTACCTTCTTCTTCTTCGCCACCTGTTTTCACTACCACCCGCCACAGTGCGGCGCTGCCAACACTTTTCGGAAACGTCAAAATTGGCGGCGGCAGCGGCGGCGGCGGTTGTTAAAGGAAATCATCCAAATCATCAGTTGCAGATTCGCGGCTGCGAATTCACAAAAACGTACAATCTCATATCCAAAAATATAATTCACTTTACTTCTTTGCAAAATAATATAATAATTGGTACTTGAACGCCGCCAATATTCCTGAAAGAGCCTCGTTCGCCGGCTCAATTCGCCCCGGTCGAGACCTCTGCCGTTCCGGAGCACCGAAGTGTCAGTGCAGTGAAAACGTCAAATGTGAAAAAATGAAGGAATTTTACTTGGGTTTTTTATCATAAAATAATGGGTGCTAAAGACTCCAAACCATCCTGCATCAGCTATGAGGATGCCATAAAGCGCGGTTAGTGTGAAATTGCGTGAAATGCACGTCCGTCTTGGTGAAATATTCGTGAGAAAATCACAACGCAAAAATTTACTTTTCCCCCACCCTTGCACACCTCTTTCGGCCCTTGACAGGCTTCGGAGAATTATTTGCATTATTTTCCAGCACAGGAAAGGGAAATTCGCGGTGGAAATTGCGTAAATGGGTTCTTTTGTTGGGCTCTCCGAGCAAGGGTGACGCGTTTACGCGGGAGAAAGTCAAGCAGCTTCGCTAATTGAGTGCTAATTGGCATTTTCGTGTCTCTCTTTGCAGTCTCGGACACGGAATTGAGGCGGATTAAGGAGGCGTTCAAGCGATCTGCCGGCACGGGAAACACTTGCCTCAGCAAAAGTGCCTTCATCCAGGATGTCCTCTGCGAGGGCGTGCCGCTGCCCATCGCTGAGTGCCTGTATGCCGTGTGCGGCGGCACGCAGAAGGGCATCAACTTCAAGGAGCTCATCTGCGGACTCGTGCTGCTGGCCAAGGGCAGCCAGGAGGAGAAGATCCGCTTCCTCTTCAACCTCTACTGCAACGAGTCCGGCACGCACGTCATCAAGCACGACTTTATCAGGGCGCTACAGACGGAATTGCCCCAGCAAACCGTGATCAACAACAACAACTGGGTCTCGCTGTTCGGCCAGACGGACAGGGTGACGTTTGAGCAGTTTAAATCGTGGATCACCATCCACCGACAGGGCACAGTGCTGTCCAGATGGCTCCTCGTGGAGCCCGTGGTGAATTTGAGCTCGGAACTGGAGACACCGACCTTCTTCCAGAGCCTTGCCGGCGTCACTCACCTCGAGGAGCAGGACATCCGGGAGCTGGAGAAGGTGTTCTGGCGTCTCAAAGGCTCTGCGGCCACGGGACAGCTGGACCTGGAGAGTGTGAGTCCTCTGCTCAGCCCACCGGTGCCCAAGAACGCTCTGGCCGGAGTGTTCAATGCCTTCGATGAGAACCGCGACGGACACATCGACTTCAAGGAACTCTGTTGCGGCGTGAGTGCCGCCTGTCGCGGGCCCAGCGTGGAGAGGAGCAAGTTCTGCTTCAAAGTGTTCGACACGGATCGCGACGGAATTCTCAGCCATGAAGAACTGAAGCAAATGGTTGATGTTCTGCTGTTTGTCGCTCAGGAGAGCAACAACTTCGCCTTCTTCAGGAATATGACGCACGACACTGTGATGAAGGAGCTGGCTGAGCGTGCGGAGAAGAAGCAATCGTTCGTCTTCACCCAGGAGGACTTCCTCATGTGGAGCATCGAGAGCTCGCTGAATCTTGTGGCGCAATTTCTGGAGCTTCTCTTCGAGGTGTGCCACATTGTCTTCGGGCTGCGGCCGCAGTGTCGTCATATGGAGTATGACATCGTGAAGGGGTGGCTGTCGCGCGAGGTGAAGCGCGGCTACAAGATTGGGCAGTTTTGGTATCTCATCTCGTCAGAGTGGTGGCAAAATTGGCTGCAATACACCCAGAATGTGCCGCCATCGTCGTGTTCGCACTGCAAAGTGAGTCGCAATGGGAGTTCCGGTGCCGCTGCGGGTGGCTTTGACGAGGCTGTGGTGTGCGATGAGAGCTTCACCAGCAATTCCACCGAATCCATGGGCGATCTCCTCACTGCTGCCGATTCCACCAGTCTGGGCTCGTGCAGCAGTGGAATCTCCTACGGAAGGACGGTGACTGTGGCGCCAGGATCCATCGACAATCGCTCCCTCATCGCGCCGACCATTTACAAGAATGTCCCAACACTCACGGGTGAGTTTATCGGCAATTGTGGCCTCGAGATTAGACTGATTACGCGGTGAAAGTCATAGATTTCCGCCTCAGACCCCCTGTCAATGCCAAACTATGTCTGCGGAAATCTTATCTCCGCTTCTTGGCAATCCCCACCACGCAGCGTCAGATAATTCTTGATTATTTTGAATATCAAACATCGGGTTCGAATGGGAAAACCAACCATTGTTCCTCACTCCACTGACCAGGAGGAATTGCGTTTTAACTCCAAATATTTGGATATGTAAATGTTTTCAAGGAAATGACTGTGTGGGCGTTGGTAAAATGTGGGTTTGTAGTTATAATTGTTCTATTGACGCTGTAATGTCTTATCAATTTAGCGATATAGAGCAAAATAATTGTTCTGCATAAAAACGAGATATTCAGAAACCATTGTTTACGAATGTATTTCTCATCCTTGACCCAAAATGTGGGTTAGAATTTCTTGAAGGTTCTATGGAGACCTTTTTTGGTAGGATGACAGCTAGTCTTAAGATCTTGTTATCTTGGTTGTAGTCTCGGATATCAATATTTCTTGGATTGCCTTGTGGAGTGTTGAACTTTTTCTGACTTCTATCCCTGTTTTGCAGGCGAAGGAGGGCGATTGAAGAGGGATTCCACCTTGGCTCAGCACCGTGACTTCGAACTGGTGCCCGATTCGCTATGGAAGGCGCTGGCTCTGTGGTATCAAGGGCCATTGCCGCTGCCGCGCCAAGTTATCCAGCCGCCTGGAAATCCGGAGGTGGAAGTGGAACTGTATCCACTGAATCTGCGCATCTTGCGGCACCACTATCCGCCGAATCAGGGCGCGCAGCAGCAGCAGCAGAGCTCGCTGGGATCCAATGCGTGGGGCATCGTGTCCGGAGGCTATGGGGTGCTGAACACGCCGAGTGGCATCACGGGGAATGTCACGGCGGCGAGTCTGGCGTCGGGAATGCAGCCGCCGAAGAAGTATCTCGCTTACATGGCGGCCTTCAGCAAGCTGGCCACGGTGAAGCAGGTGTGCGAGTTCCTGTGCCAGCGCCTGAAGCTGCGCCAGGAGGATGTGCGCCTGTGGCATGTGTTGGGCGGAAGTCAGTCGGGCAACAGCATGGCCGAGATGCCGTACTTGCTGGAGGAGGACAAGGCGACGCTGCAAGAGCTGATGATAAACGATAACGATCAACTGCTGCTGGAGTGTAGGAACAAGGATCTCACATGGCCTGAAGAACTGAGTGCTCTCAGCATTTCTGGGGCGAGTGGCGGTGTTGTGAGTGTTGTTGGTCAGGAGAGACGATCAACGGTGGCTTCTATTCACTCGGTGCATCCTGCTGGGGCGACAGGACTCCACAATCTGGGCAATACGTGCTTCATGAATGCCGCGCTGCAAGTTATGTTCAATACGCAGCCGTTGGCGAGGTATTTCCAGCAGGATATGCACCTCTATGAGCTGAATACGGCCAATAAGTTGGGCACGAAGGGCCAATTGGCCATGAGATACTCGGAATTGCTCAAAGAAGTTTGGACAGCGTCGACGAGATCCATTGCGCCGCTCAAATTGAGGTTTTGCGTGACGAAGAATGCTCCGCAGTTTGCTGGCGGTGGTCAGCATGATTCGCAGGAGTTTCTCGAGTGGCTTCTGGATGCTCTGCATGAGGATTTGAATCGTGTGATGGAGAAATCCTACTCGGAGCTCAAGGATTCCGATGGGAGGGCGGACAATGTGGTGGCGGCTGAGGCCTGGTTGCAGCACAATGCCCGGAATCAGAGTATTGTCATTGATCTCTTCTACGGTCAGCTCAAGTCAAAGGTGACGTGCTTGGGCTGTGGCAAGGACTCAGTCCGCTTTGATCCATTCAGTCTGCTCAGTCTCCCACTGCCGGTGGAAAACTACACGTATTGTGAAGTTCTAGGTGAGGAGAAACGTGTGTGGAATCAGTGATGTTCCTGCAACTAATATTCTTTTTTGTCCCTTTCAGTGATTTTCCTTGATGGTTCTGTGCCAATAAAGTACGGATTGCGCCTGAATTCTGATGCCAAATATGTAGAATTGAAGATGGAATTGTCGCACATCTGCAATCTCGATCCGGACTTGATGCTCTGCTGCGAAATACTCGAGTCTCAGGTCAGGACAATTCTCATGGATGATCAGAAAGTGAAGGCGAGCACAGCGACAGAGCTTTATGTGTACGAACTGCCAAAGATGGGTGGAAATGAGCGATCATTGTGCAATTCTGAACTTGGACTGAGCATTGAGAAGGGATTGAAGGATATTCAGAGACATCAAGGTGAGTGTGAGGATGACTTACAATCAGATTGTTATCGCTAATCATTTGATCTTTTACAGGACTACTCACTTCTGCCGATACGTATCAATCGACTATTTCTTCAACTGTGTCATCGATAACGACATCCTCCGAGGATACAGCTTCGGGACAACCCTTAACCGGCGGTTCTACAGCCTCTGGAGACAATGCCACAGCCGAGGAAGGCGCTTCAGCGCAGCCACAAGCCATCGCGAGGAAGACATCAGCGGATGTTGAGAGGAAATCATCGAAGGTAAGCCGGTGCTTAGGAAACACCCTCTGCATGCCACAGACTCTGTTATGCTTCAAGGTATGGTAAAAGAGATCACTGGTTTTTTTCAAAATTACTTTTAATAGTAGTGTAGACAGTGTAGAAGAATTTACTAGAAAGAGTGCAGGATTTGCAGTGGTGGAAGATTTTTAACAACTTATTCATTGTGTGTGTGTGTGTTGTAGAGAAAATTAGGGATTCCCTTGGTGTTTTCCAGCAAATGGACATGGGCACGAGTCCGGATGCCTTCGTGACGCCAAACTATGTGCCGAACAAGACTATTTCCACCACGAATTTGCTGACGGAAAGGAGTGGTGGCGATCAGGCAGTGCCGCAGAAGGATAACGACTCAGATGCGAGCGATGGGTGTGATCGGTGTGTGGGTCCTTTTGAGGGGCACGCGGGCAGCTGTCCGCCGAACGGTCTTCGTCGGATGACAAGGCAGAAGGCATCGCGATACTTGGTGGCTGTTCACCGGCAGCTCAGTCGTCAGGATACCTATTTTCTGTCTTATCATAAGACAAAGCCACACCTGTTCGGGACACCATTGCTCATTCCCTGCCACGAGGGCAGCACCAATAAGGATCTGTACTGCGCTGTGTGGCTTCAGGTGGCACGATTGCTCAGCCCATTGCCGCCGACGCCACCGGATCGTGCTAATCATGCCACAGATTGGTGAGTTATATTATTATTTTGTCTCCTCTGTTAACAACACACCTTGGCATTGACCACGAAAAAATGTGTGTGCGTTTGTCTTTGCATATTGATAAAAATTCCCAGAACAATTGACTTTATTATTCATCTGCGGTGTGACCTTTCTCATCAAAGTTTTCTTTTTGCCAAGAAGCTCTGTTTTATGTTTGCCACGTGCTAATATTGAATGAGATCAAATACTCATCTTCCACTCAATGCTAGGCATTTTCCCAGAAGCTTAGCAAATGCGATGAATCGAGCTGAATAATATGTGGAATTCCACAATTAAGTCGTTTAACTCACTTAAGAATTCTCCAGTTTGGCTCTCCTTATGTAATGTGGTGTGATAATGACGAAATGATATGCAAAAATAGCTAAGGTAGCGAGTATTTCCGTCTTGTCACCTCAGCGAATTGTTTTCTCTTCTTCTTCTCTCCGCAGTGACGACAGCCTGGGCTATGAATTCCCCTTTACACTGAGAGCGGTGACGAGTGGCGGCCGAATATGCGCCCTGTGCCCTTGGTTCCGCTTCTGCCGCGGCTGCGAAATTGCGTGCAATAATGACTCCTTGATATCCGGCCTGATGGCAACTCAAAACACTCAGATGTCCAGCACTGCGTCCACGCCGATTATGTCACATCGGGATCAGGCGCCGCGTTCGAGCATCCACAGGAGGACGCAGAGTGAGATTGGCGTGCCCGGAGAGCCGCTGACGCCGATTGACCTCAGTGTGATCAGTATAGCCATCGATTGGGATCCAACGGCGCTGCACTTGCGCTATCAGAGTACACGTGAGAAGGTGTGGACGGAGCACGAGAGCGTGGCGATGTGCAGACGCCAGCAGACGGAGCCTGTGGATCTCAATCACTGCCTGAGGGCATTCACGAGCGAGGAGAAGCTAGAGCAGTGGTACTACTGCGGTCACTGCAAGGGGAAGCAGCCGGCCACGAAGAAGTTGCAAATATGGAGATTGCCGCCGATTCTAGTGAGTGGTTGACACAATATTCTCATAGCCTAAGTCTAATGTGCTAATTTTGAACAATTCTTCTGCAGATTATTCACTTGAAGAGGTTCAATTTCGTGAACAACAAGTGGGTGAAGTCACAGAAAGTCGTCAACTTTCCCTATGACAACTTCGATCCCACGCCCTATCTTGCATCTGTGCCTCAGGAGACGATCCTGCGACACCGCGAGCTGTTCAGCACGGCGACGGAGGAGCGGATCGATGAGAATTGCGTGTTCAGTCCGTCAAGTGGTGCTAGGATGAGTGCTGACGAGAGGAGATCGTGCTTGGAGAATGGAACTGAGTGTGGAGCAGCGGGAAAGCAGGAGCGACGGAAGCGGCTGATATCGGGGAGTTTGACGAAGACTCCTGTCAATGATGAGGATCTGGTGGATTTCCACAAGCACAAGCTCAAGTGTGGTCAAGATGCGCTCGATCTCAAGTATCAATTGTACGCTGTTGTGGTGAGTGGCTCGAGATAGTGTTGCTTGCGGACTTTCCAGCTGATAATGAGATGATTTCTTTGCAGTCACATTCCGGGATGCTGAATGGGGGCCACTATATTTCCTATGCCGCCAATCCGAATGGATCGTGGTTCTGCTACAACGACAGTTCGTGCCGCGAGATCCCGCATCGGCCGCAAATCGATCCGAGTTCCGCCTATTTGCTGTTCTACGAGCGCAAAGAGCTCGACTATGCGCCGTATTTGCCCAAAGTGTCGGGGCGCTCCATTGTGAATGGCGCTCTGGACGTTGATGATGAGAGTGAACTGCGAAAGATGTGCACGATCGCTTAGGATATAGATTTATATACGAGCAAGCTATAAGGAAACACCATTCTGACGATGATGAATTATCATTTAAAAACTACTTTGTTATATTTCCATACGCTGTGTAAATATCAACATTTACTATATGATAGCTATTACTGGAGTTGAGGAGGTGTAATATTCGTTACATGTATCTTTTTCTTCATATACTTTTTAAGGGCGAATTATCCATTATGCGATATTGTTTGTTGAGTTGAATGGATACTATAAAAAGTCTTTTTTGTTGAGTAATTTCTAGTGAAAAAAATCATGTCATACGCTAATATCCCCACATATGCATATACATTTTATTTGTTTACAGAAAGTGAGGAGATATTGTGAGAAAACAGCATTCCTAACGATGAAAATGCATGGAAAATTAAAAGTTCTGTGGAAAAAATGGATGAATGATTTGTTTGGTTGGAAATATCGGCGCGTTAATGGCGAAATATCGGAGGGGAAGTGAGTGGAGTTTGCGGCGCAGACCGCGTGGCGCTGCGATCGCAGTGGAAATCCAGTGACATCGTCGAGCGCAACAAAATTTCAGTCTTGCGAAAAGTGTTGGAAAACAGCGTGAAATCACGGTGAAGAGCGACTGAGATAAAGCAAAAGGAATCTTTGGTAGTTCGTCGACACGTCTTTGTTGAAATTTTGCGCGTATTCTCTATGTACGGTGAGTAAATGGGGCTTTTCTGCGAAGTGTATTTTTAGGTGCGCTGCCCAGTTGACTGAGCGCTGGTCAGTTCCGCGAATTCTCCCCGATTTTGCAGTCACTCCAGTGGCTCTTGCATGTGAGTGCAGAGCTGCGTCAGCTGGGCAGCACAGCGAGTGTTTTGCAATTTCGAAGCTGTGTTTTTTGTGCATTTTCACACGACCATTGAGTAATGTTTCCCAGGCTCGGCACAAAAGGCGATATCGATTGTTGATTTTTCAAAACATCCACACAAAAAGCACTGATAAATCATCGCTGTCGCGTGAACACACACATTTTCCTCGGCGGCTATTTGCAGCAAATTGATCCCATTCTAAGCACACAAACAAACATTCGCTATAATTAGAAGATGTTGGTGGGATTTGTGAAAAAAAGCCACCACTGACGTGGTCGCACTGCGAAGAGGCCACGCAATTAATTGCGATTTGGTGCCAATTGATTTGCTGAAACCCTAAGCCTGAGCCTTGCATCACACTCTCTTGGCCAGAGGCTCAAATCTCGAGAGTCTCAGTCGCGAGTCGATGTCCGTGACATTTGAATTGGTGGAAGATAACTTTCCCTCAGCGCTCGATCTGCAAATATTTGCCCAAGAGTCGGGCTTGACGACGGATTTCTGCCTCTGCTAAACACTCTTGCTTTCCTTGCTCTGCTTTTCCGGTCCAGCGATCTGATGGAGCAGCACGTGGACGACAAGAGTTCACTCTCGGCCAGCGCCAGTGATCACGAGACCATGGAATCCTGGACGTTCGTGGACGAGTCCAAGAGCGCGGCGAAGCAGACGGAAGCGACAGGAAGTGCGGATTGTCAGCCTGAGAAAGCCGAGGCGAAGACAGAGTGAGTTGAGCTGTGATTTACGGGCGAAAGCCTTTGTTTGGAGCTATTTTAATATAAGCAGTTGCAAGACAAAGATCCAGAGACACTTTTGGCTGAAGACCTGTTTATTTCAGGCTAATTTTAGGCTGTCCATTAAGTAGATGAAGAATTTATATTAAATCAAGAGGACATAGGGGATGTGGGGCTGTTTCGGAGACGAAATGAGAGTTGCTTAATAAATGATTTCCTCTACTTCTGCTGTATTAGAATTGGTCATTATTCAATAATTTGCATTTTTATACCACACAAGATTTGTTTTCTTTTATAACTTATTTTCTCACTATCAGTTTGAAAACAGAGACTCATAAATCACGTGTAAAATAAGCGTTTTTCTCTCATTTACATGCTTAAACTTTCATATCTAATCTGTTATGTTTGATTATAATTACTTGTCGTGTCCATAACTGCCCCGCTTTTCCCCTTATTTTCAAAGATTTCTGTTCCTGCACTATTTTCAGTGGGAAAACTTGTCTGGAACTTTGAACCAGATTCACGATTGCACGCCTCGAGGGCCTTACATAAATATTTTTGAAGGTGAAAGTGATCGGTTGAACGACCTTCTTCGCTTTCGCGTGGAAAGAAAGTGATAATCCAAAAATGCATGGCCTAAAAATCTTGAAATGTTATTTAGCAAAGTCAATCTCCGTATTTGCGTTGCCTTGACAAAACTCATAGTTTGATAATGATGCAATGCTTATGGGCTCTCTAATGTGAGTTTGAGGGAATTGCTCAGAGATAACACACTATCAATGGTGTGAACTCGTTCTCTTGCCTGCACGAGAGCTGTAATCTCTGATGGGTGATCAAGGGAAGATTAGCTGTGAGCACGAAGTGGAGCAGATTTCATGCTCTCGTCACGGTTTTCGGCGAAATGTGCCAAAAAGTGCACGTGAATGAATCGTGTGGGATTTTCGGTTGTCGCCTGAACATTGAGCCCTCGAGCAAATAGTTGTTATCGCTGGAGAGAGGCACTCTTGGCTCTCTGGATATGCTGACACACCTCCTGGACGTGATGTTGGGGTGGCAAATATTTGCGGATGATGTTGAGTTTGGCTTCTTTGTCTCTTCCCACAGCAAATATCATCTCGGCGTGGATCCAGACAATGACACTGAGCTCTCTGACGGGATCTCCATCATCAGCGACAGCGAGTGCGGCGGGCGCCACTCGCCCGAGGAGCCCCACAGCGAGGCGGAGAAGGAGGAACCACCGCTGCTCTTGGTGCCCGAGAAGAGGCTCGTGGAGGTGGAGAAGGAGCCAGACTTGGTGAGGGGCGTCTTCGGCATTGGACGACGCCACGTGGTGTTTGTGATTCTGCTGGCGGGAATCAGCGGGGCGATGTTCGGACACATCTTCAGGGCGATGCCGAGTGCTCCGTGCGACTGCTCGAAGCTCCTGGAGCCGCTCATGAACAGGGTTTATGACTTAGAGATGGAGAACTTTAGACTTCGCGACGAAGTGAGCAAATTGACGGAGAAAATTCTGTCGGAAGCGCTCAAGGCGAGCGTTGAGGAGCCAATGAAGCCAGTTACGGAGGAGCCTGTGTCGCCGGTAGAGAAAGTATGGGCAGGAAACACAGATGAGGCGATCGTGAAGCCTCTGGTTGAGGAGAGCGTGTGCGGAGGGGATTCTGGGGATGATCTCTTTGATGAATACTACGGGAAAGTGTGCAGGGAAGCTGAGAAGCGCGTGAAGGAAGCTAGGAAGGCATTTGAGGAGAAGCCAAGACAACCGGAACGAACAGAGCGTCCTGAACGCTTCCGAGAGGAGCGCAAGCCAGAGAAAAAGGAGCGAAATAGCGAGGAGAGGAAGGGAAAACCTGGGAAATATCAAGATAGGGACGACAGGAAGAATTCTAAGGAAGATAGGAAAAATTCCAAGGAGAGAAGCGATGAGAGGAGGAAGAGAGATGATGATGATGATGATGATGACGACTGGAGTGGTGAGGATTACCGGAAGAAGCGAGAGAAGTATGAGAAGAAGAAGAAGGGAGAGCGAAAGGATGACGATCGGAGAAGCAGCAAGGAAAGGTGGAATGGTGAGAAGAAATGGGATAAGAAGAACGGCAAGAAGTGGCGGGATGATGATGATGACGATGACGACGACAGTCGAGAGGAGAGAAGAAGCAAGGAAGTGGATGCGGAGTGGCATAACAAGAGGATGAAGGGAAGAGAGCAGTTCAGGGAGAAAGAAAGCGGCGAGAAGGACAGCAATTGGTATCTGGAAAGGGGTTCAGACAGGGAGATTAAGCGCCTCCGGGTGGAGGAGTCCCACGAGAGGCGGCGTTAGAGCACCATCCTCAGTTTCCAGTATTTTCCCAACACAATCAGGACAATTTTTTAGCGCTTTAAAGGAACTTTTCTACCAATTCCTTATAAGATGAACCAGATGAACAGAGTTAAGCGTCCTATTTTCAGCTCGGAGTGTTATTTGCTCGTCAATTGGTATACCATGTACTTGTAGAGAGATTTATTTACAAAAAATAGTGTTTATTTTGCTAATTTTTAAGAGAAAAAGAATAAAATGTGTGATATAATTTACCATTCCGCGCCTTTTCTTTCGAGTTGGGGAAATGCGATGGTGGCGCTTGCGGGCAAACTGCAAATCTTTCGGTGACTATCTTCACTTTGTTGGATCCCCACAATTTTTGGCGCGATGTGTCAGAAATCCGTGGAAAAATAAACATCTTCTCGCGTTGGAAAAGTCTGAATACAGCCAGAAATTCTTAATTGTCCACGCTTCTTGAGTGTCAAGAGTCTTCTCAAGAGTGTCGCAATTGCCGAAAAGTGAAATGCCAGGTGATCAAGCGAAGACATCCGCGGAGGTGTCGCCGAATGTGGGGAAGAAGCTGGTCCAGACGCGGTTGCCCTTCAAGGTGCTGAGCCCTGGAGCTGGAAATAAACCTGAGGGTGTGTCCAAGCGCAAGCTCTCCTCACCAGCCATCGATAATCGTGCTCTTAAGGTGCCGAAGAAGACAGATGACGAGGAGTCTGAGCACGAGGAGTTCTCCAATCCGGACACGATCATTGTCATTCACGATGAAAAGTCACAGGAGAAAGCCAATCGTAAGGATGATGTGCAGGACAAGATTGAGGAATCTGATGAGCAAGATGAGGAGGACAAGAAGATTCTGATCAAATTCCCATTCGCCAAGAAGGATAACAATGAGGTTAAGGCAGAGCCGAAGAAGCCCAAAGAGAAGAGGAAGAGGTCCAAGAAGACTAGCAAGAAGAATGAAGTACCCGAAAAAGATGTCCAGGAAGCTGTTAACATTGAAGATGAAGATATTGTTATGATCTGCGATGAGAAGCTGAGCATGTCTATGGATGGAGACAACAATGCAGGCTCTGTTGTGGACACTCCGCCACGGAAGCGCGTCAAGGAGGAGGAAAATGGCAGTAGCAGTGAAGATGCGCCTAAGAAATTGACTCCTCGGCAGGTGGAAAAGCAGCAGGAGATGGAGAAGCGTCGCCAAGAGAGATTGGCAGATAAGCTTAACAGGAAGAAAAAGCAGGAGGAGGAAAAAGAGCTGAAGAAGAAGGAAAAGGAGGAGAAAGAAGAGCAACGGCGTAAGGAAAAAGAGGAAAAGGATGAGCAGAAGCGCAAAGAGAAAGAAGAAAAAGATGAGCAGAAGCGCAAAGAGAAAGAGGAAAAGGAGAAGAAGCGACAGGCGGAATTGGACGCGAAGAATGAGGAGAAACGCATGAAGGAAGAAGAGAAGCGCCAAAAGGATGAGGAGAAGCGCAAGAAAGAGGAGGAGAAGAAGGAAGCTGCCCGTCGCGTGTCTGATAATTTCAAGAAGTTCTTCATGCTGAAATCCAAGCCTCAAATTTCGCCTTCTGCAAGTGACGCAGACAAAGAGAACTGTTCAGATGACATCAAGTCTTCGGGGCCGAAGTTTATGCCCTTCTGCGTGAAGCCTGACATGAGATTGGCGCCTAGCTCACGACGAAATCTCAAGGATGATGAGAAATCCCGACTGGATCACATTCTGTCGAAGTCGCCTGAGGAGAAGGAGAAGCTGTACCTCAAGGAAATCGGTGCTGAAGGCAATTGCGCGAGGAAGAGTGGCAGAACTTGGATTCAGGAGGAGGATTCTGACGATGAAGTGATTCTGCTCAGTGATGAGGGACAGAGGATTGAGGAAAACAAGCCCAAGATCAAGTATCGAGTGAAATTCCTCAGATTTCATGAGAATCAACGTCCTCCGTATTACGGAACGTGGAGGAAGAAAAGCGCCAAATTGACTCCGCGGAATCCCTTCTCGAAGGATGAGGTAAGAACAGCTGGAAGTCTTTTAGATCTTCTCATTTCTAGCCATTTGTTGCACTTGCAGAATCTCTTTGACTACGAGGTGGACTCTGACGACGAGTGGGAGGAGGAAGAGCCCGGAGAATCTCTTCACGGGAGCGACGATGAGAAGGACAAGGAGTCTGAGGATGACTATGAAGTGGACAATGACTTCTTTGTGCCTCATGGCCACTTGAGTGACGAGGAGCTGCAGAACGAAGATGAGGACAACTCTCCGGAGATGCAGAAGGCGAAACTGAAGCTGCTTCAGCAGGAGTTTGCGGATGAGATGAAAAAGAAGACGGAGAAATTGAAGCCTCGCCTGATTGGATGCGTCTGGCAGACGGCGTCAGGCGAACGACCAGACAGTTGTTCGGAAGTCATCTGGCGTCTCCTCTCGGCCAGCAAGATGCTCTTCTGCGGTCCTGTGGTTCTCAACGTCGAGCCCACGAGCTCCACGACGACGCCCAGCAAGGAGGAGGAAGGTGCTGAGAGTGCTGTGAAGAAGCGCAAGAAGTTGCACGAGGAGGACGTGAAGAGTCTCATTCGGTTGGCGCACGGCAACAGCCACAGCGGCCGCTTTCTGGTCGAGGAGTTCGTGGCGACCAGAGCGAAGGAGAAGGAGGGCCAAGAGGACAAGGTCGAGGTGACGAAGATCGGCGTGAAGCGGAAGCTGAGGGAAGTTGCAGAGTGGAAGGTGTGTCCCGAGGCTGGCGCCATGGAGGGCAAAATGTGCTGGTATGTGGCGCCCAAGGTGAGGGAGCAGTTCGGCCTCGGTGACTTGACGCTGCCCAACACGTGGAAGTACACTCTGACGCCGAAGAAAGTGGAAGAAGCGCCAGTTCAGGCTCCGCCAGTTCCGCCGCAGAAGGAGGAACAGCCGGAGAAACAGAAGAAGCGAATGGCTCCACTGATGTCAGTGCCTCGTGGCCAAGCGTTCTCGCCCTCCACCAAGAACCAGCTCATCAGCCAATTCCTCAAGAAGACCAAGCCTGAAGACAAAACCCCAGTGGAGGTAATAGAACTGGATTAGAAATGGCAAATTCATATTCACAAATCATTAGAATTAGATGATAATTCCTCACTTTATTCTGCAACTTTATAAATAAATTATGCGATTCGGAAGAAGAATATATTTTTAATACATTTGTCTCTGGACTTGTTCAGGAATTGAAAACATCAAGAGTGAAAATGAATTTTCATCCTCACGCTGTTCGTGTCTCGTATTTTAGAAAATTTCATACCAAGAGTAACATTGCAAATCCATCTCAAGAGATGAGGTCTCTTGGCACTTTTAATTAGTATCTGCAGTCTTTAATTATGAAAGAGCTGCGGAGGAAAATTCAGCGTGCGTGATTGCATGCAACTGATTTTCCCGCCATTTTCCGCGAAATTCCGAAAGCGCGCGCGCTGGTCGACAACCAAAGTCCGGAAAGCCAAACGTCACGAACTGTGTTTTGGAATGTAGTGTTTTTACTGCGGAGGCGATTTTTTCCAGCGTTTTCCTCGTCAAATGAGCGGAAATCAAGTGTATTGTCGTCTTTGCTTGCGCTCGGATGGATTCCTCGTGTCCATTTTCGAGGACAAGAGCGAAAGGATCGAGCAACTTATCGAGGAAGTTACGACGGTCGTGGTGAGTGGGTCAGGGATAGTTTTCGTGGGATTGGTAGGGAAATGCTGAGTTTCTTGGGCGTCTTCCAGATCAGGGAGGATGAAGCTGACTTCCCGCCCACGATTTGTACTGGATGCTTGCGCTACGTTGAGTCAATCAAGACGTTCAAGAGTCAGTGCGTGAAGAATGACGAACTCATCCGGAAGGGAATGTTTGGTCAGGCGGTGAAGGCGGAATTCGATGAGTATCACGATGTGGCTGCTGATGTGACGTTCTCAAGCAGTTCGCCAGCAGCCGAAGAGTGTGCTGGACTGGAGGAGGATGTGAAGGAGGAGCAGGCGGAGTCGGCCGAGAGTGTTGAAGAGGAGGAAGAGGACTTTGTGGACGAAGACTTTCCTGAGGAGACGTACGAGGTGAAGCCCAAGAAGAAGCGGAAACCGTACAAGAAGCGCGCCAAGAAGGTGAAGCACGAGGCGGAGGCGAACAGCGGGGAGCTGAAGGCGAAGAAGAAGCAGCAGAACAGGACGCTGAAAGTGTGCTACATCTGCGGCAAGACCACCACGAACCAGACACTGCATCTTATCCGGCACTCCGATCTCACGCCCTACAAGTGCGACTACCCGGAGTGCACCAAGGCGTACAAGACGTACCTGGGGCTGCGCTATCACAAGTACACTCACACGGACTACCGGCCGCACGTGTGCGAGATCTGCGGACGCGGCTTCGCGCGGCGGAGCAAGATGGTCGTGCACATGCTGGTGCACACGAACGAGCGCAACTTCCCGTGCGAGCTGTGCGGCAAGGCGTTCAAGCAGAGGTACAACTTGATCGCCCACCGACGCACGCACACGGACGACCGCAAGGAGAAGTGCCTGGAGTGTGGCAAGTGCTTCCTCACGCGCCACGAGCTGGGCAAGCACGCGCGCATCCACCGGAACGACGAGCACCCGTACAAGTGCTCCATCTGCACGTACAGCACGCTGTACAAGGCCAGCCTCAACAGTCACATGAACAAAGTGCATGGGCTGAATCACTAAGGGCGTGACCCACTCGACGCCCGCGGACAATGGGAGAAAATGAGAGTGTTGCGTGTCGGATGCACGCTCACCAGCCAGGCTGATGACCTCGCGATGCCCAGTGAGCCTGTGTGGCTCTTTTGTCCCCGGCCAGGAGAGAATCCGCCGCTCCGCTGGACACACAGATTTCCCATTCGGCCTTTTGTCTGCAGCTCAACAATGAGAGCAGTCAGTTCTGGCCCAGCTCTCGATCCGTGCGCAACACTTCCACGTCTCGTCATGGTTCTTGTGCAATCCTCCAATCTCTAGTATCTGTGCTAACTCTAGAAAGTCTATCTGTGTCCTCTGTTCGTGCTGTCCGTGGCTGAGACACTGTCCTAGAGATGAAAATGATCAAAATCATAGGTAAAATACATCTTATTTTAATTCTAAGTGATAACACATTGAATTTATACATGCAATAAAGCCCAATGTACATTTCCCGCCAAAATTCACCGTTCCTCAATTACACGATCCAGAGATTCGGCTGAGTCTTTGTCACCTCTGCGCCCGTTTCACATTTTTTCCTCTACTTTTCTAGCTGTGAATATGATTTTCGCGATAAAAAGCGCGTATTCCGTTTTGTCACCGAGTTCTCTCAATTGCCGCAATAATTTATAGGTACAGTTCACAAGGTGTGGCTCATGACATCACAAAGCATCCCAAAAAATCCTTCTGCATACCTTTTCTCTAAAGTAAATTACACGTAATTTAGCATCACAGAAGATGAATTGATTGCGCAATCGTGATGTGGGAATTTCGCAAAAATTCAATAAGACTCTCCGATATAGATTCAAATTTCCGCCTCTGAGCACAATGGACAGTGTCACAATACCACTTCATCAAATCGCCGTCAGTTCACCTGAAAGTGATCTCTTTTTCACTGGGCGCTCGTTCCGCCTGGCTGGCATTCCGGGAATGCGCGCGAGAGAGAGTCATTGGCGATGATTTGCACAGCAGATAATTCTCACGCGACACTTGTAGGCCTCTTCCTGGTCATTGCGACCGTGGCGGCTATGCATTTACCCAGCGATGTGGAGCTTCTCGGCGGTTACGAGGATCTGGGCGAGCTTCTGCTGTCTCCCGAGGACGACAGTGTGGTGGAGAGTCAGAGCCTGGTGAAGGCGATCCGGAGCAAGAGGAGTGCTTATCAGGTCTTAGAATCCCCAGGATTGCGGAGTCACTTCAGGTTGAGGTAGGTCATTTTGCAGCCAGGAGTTCAGCAAACTCTTCAATTCGTGACTAATTCCCTTAGTTTCCGGGGAAGGCGACACAATATGATCTCTTATCTCTCCAATTATCAGGCTTAAAAGCCAACTTTATTGTCGTTAACCTATTGACGGACAAGTACATTTCATTTATATTTGCAAAATAATTGGCACTTAGTATGTTTTCTCAATTGTAAATTTTATTTGAAACGCAAGCGTTAAAAATGTAATGCCAAATTGCAGACTCTTTTCACACATCATGTATTCAGAAGATAAACAGTTAAGCAATTTATTTAAATTCTCGAAGTCTTATTCAGTTTCTATTATTCAATATTAGTAAATGAAAGACATTTTTACAAATAAAATCATTCTCACATCCTATAGTCGCCATGAAGATTCCTTGGAGGAAACTTCGAATCATCCGAAGAGATCCCCGAGAAAGCGGCGCGAGTTGGAATCCGAGGCTATTGAGGATAGCGTGGAGATGATCGATCGCACTCCCAGAGGCACTGCATCCGGCGAGAAGAAGTCCACCGAGGTGGAAATGCCGCCTGACGTCGAAGAGCTTCCGCGTCCTGAGAAGCAAATCATGGAGCCCGGATATTATCGCCAAGGCAGGCGCTTCGCGGATGACTTTGAAGAGGATTCCGTGGCTGAAGCCAGTGCTGTGAATGAGGGAATTAAGGCCAGAGCGCCGAGAGTGAACTTTATCACACAGCAGAGGAGTATTCCCGATAAGCCAGAGTCCAGAGATCAGAAGCTCAGCATGGCGCGTGCTGAGGAAGTCTACAAGAAGCCTTTCGAGGCTATTGAGGCGCCTCGCTACGTTCCTGACTACCGATCGAGACTCATGGAGCCTCCGCCACCTCCGCAATACAAGGTGGAAGATCTGTCCTTGCTGGCTTCCCAGGAGAAACATTTAATTGTTTATCTCATGCTTTCTTTCAGGGATACTCGGACTATTATGATAAGTATCGCTATCCTGACTATTACGAGCCCTGGAGAAGGATGCGCTTCTACGACACTTACATGTCCAGGACGCTGATGCCTCCTCCTCCTTCGCATTCAGCCTACAACAGCTATCCAGAACACAGATTTGACAATCCCCCAACGGCCGTGGACATGAGAGGATATCCTATTTATCCCACTCCGTACGTGAACGACGTCACTTATCCTCCTCTGCCGCGTCCTTCTGGCCAGAGGCATCGCCGCATCATCTACTACGCCAACCTGCCGGAAGTCGTGCGCTCGCCACCGAACGTTGAGCTGCGATATCGCTACAACAGCGATTACTATCCGGCCATGGAGACGTACAGAAACTTCCGTCAGCGCGAGTATGGGAAGGTGGACAACTCCACGCCACAGCCGGTGGCGAAGATGCAGGAGCAGAAGCAGGACGAGGACGGGAAGATTGAGTACTCGAGGAATCCTGGTGTGAAGGTGATTTCTGGCCTGCGCATTCAGAGTCATCAGAGTCAGCAGCCGCCGGACTATCGGAAGTACGTCGACGAGACGAAGATCAATGATTTCCCAGTGAGATACTGAGGCTGGAGATGGAAATCTCACTTAATTAAGGACACTCACGCGGATTTTCTGAACTCACCGAGCTAGAGATTGGCATTTTGTAATGCATTTGCGAGAGAAATAAAGATTAATTACATGGGTTTTCTACGTGGCCGTTAATCTCTCTGTGAGTTTGAAACTGAAAAAGCCCCTCGATGTGGGCAAAAGAATGGTCTATATGGTTTTTGGTGTTGAGGAAAAACCATGAAAAAATCCATTTAAAAGCAATAAATTACTCTTTTAATTATATTCCTCGTCGCTGGGTTCAATAATTGCACCCACCCTGGCGATGGTGTCTCGCCTAATGCATGGATTCCATTAAAATCACTGCTCAAAGTCCACCCCCAGCGAAAGTGGGTGGCGAGAAAGACATAAATTTGTCCTGCGAGGTGAGATTGTAGGTGAGAGGGGGGCCGTGGCGCCAAGAAAAGTTTCTCCGCCACTTCTTTCTCGGCAGCACAGGCAGCGAAGGTGGAGAAAGAGAGGCAGAAGGTAGCGAGCAATATAAATTATTCACAATAAATATAAAGCCGATAATTAAGACATCTTTCTTTCTCACTCTGCGAAATTCATTTAAACACTAATTGAAATATTACGTGGAGGCAGATAGCGATATGGCCAAGAGACTCGTTCTTCAGCAATTCCTCCTCGACTCAACACTTGGACAACTTCACTCGCTCTTATTGCTTCCTGAAGCACGATCTCTCTGCCCAAGAGTGGCTCAGAATGTTGGTTGAGTTTCTTCAAAAATATACCAAAAGAGCCGCGCGACCATTCACACTTTTACGAGCAATGTTGAGCGGGCATTTTCCAGCGCTGGGAAAAGCGAGACTAATGTCAATCAGATAAGAGGTCTCCCCACAAATCCCTCAAAAGAATATTTCGTGGGTGCCCCATAAAGTGATGATTTGCATAACTCTTCAGCGCGAGATTCGCACCGTTTGTCACTTCCGGAGTGATGCCCAAAATAAATTCTCTCAACCGTGCGGAGTTTCATTGGCGACAAAAATTGTTAATTAAATTCCATCGGGAGCAAGTGAATTTCTTTCGTGAATTATTCATAGGCAAAAAAGCGTGTTCAACAAAATGGAATTTTTGCCGTAAAGACAGTCCAAATGGATGGCTTTTTCACCATCAAGTTTTCGGTCTTATGCTGCTTCCCTCCGCCTCTCGGCCGAGATTGGAGTGACTTTTCCCCGATTCACCATAATTAATGGTGTATTTCTGGTGGCATGAAGACAAGTCATGTCGTTGTCCGGCGAGATGGAGATTGTGCTCTCTGGGGCAAAAACGTCCCATTCTTCGGTGGCGAAGAGCGCGACCAAATGTGACGCATGAATATGCAATTGTGACTGGAGGAGCGAGACAATTTGTGACTCTGTGTCCCGAAGAAAGATTTCTGGGCCACGATAAAGCCTCGACTTCCCGTGACACTCTTTTCCTCCTGCGCTAGAGCGGCGAGGAAGTTGTCATGTGATAAAAGTGCTGAGAGCTTGACCTGCAACTTGACCCCAAAATGAGTGAAATTAGTGGGGAAGTAGCGAAGAGTCAGATAGGGGAATGCGGAGAAGTTCCTTCTGTAACTCTCTCGGCGATAGCTGAGGCCTCTTGTATCCACACGAACTCCTCGGCCGGACAGAGCTGCGCGATCAAAGAGACAATTACGATCGGTGAGTGACACAAAATGATTTTATTGGATCCATGAGACTCTGAATGGCCTTTTTTCAGCTGTCGATGCTGCTCCTCGGCACTCTTGGCGTGCACCTTCCTGACACCATCGAGCGGTGGCTACTGGTCGGGAGAAAAGAGTGAAAGATGGTCCGGTGGACAGGGCACGGCAGAAAGAAGAGGCACCACGTGAAAGACACTTTGATGGCTGATCACACTTGAGATCGTACGATGATTGTTGGATGATCAAAGCAATTTTATAGAATCCATTAAGCTCAACCACTTATTTATTCATTAATATTCGCTGCTGCCAGAATGTTCACACGATCAATTGATCGCGACTGATGGCTATAAAATTCCTATTTGTGGCCCCAAGCACTTTTTATTGTTGCTCAGCTCCTTTCGGCTACTTCAGATGGGGCGCAACAGGGGCAAAAAAGAGCCCCAAGACATTGTGTCTATCTTACAACATTGTCATCAATTAGTTGATCTCTCAAATGGAAATCATAATATATTTTAATGCCAGTGCTAAGAGAGAAATTTTATGGGCTCTCCACTGCGAGGCGACACACGGAGTTGTTCACTGGATGTTGCTCTCGATGTCTTAACAAATTGGTTGTCGTTCGCGGTTAATTTCTATGGAAATCGAGCGACATGGCCTCGAGGCGGTAACGACAACCGCGAGATTTGTGGCTCTCCACCATCGCAATGCCACCCAAATTTCTCGGAAAATTTATGTGACACATCTCCTCCGCCCCATTTCCAAAGCCCCGCACGTTTTTACGGCGTGCGGGTGTGCGTGAATTTGGCGCATTTCACACTTCATAAAAAGAGTTGAAACACATTTTGAGTCACTCTTCTCAAATGGATGCGCTTTTGACATTTTTCTCCTTCGCGCTCTCGCGATGTTTGGCACTTCTTGAGACAGTGCCATCATCGTGTCTTGATGAGGTGACGAAGCACTTTACGATCTCTAGCACTTAACGTATGATTTATTGATGGCATCTTCACTCACGGAACATCTGACAAAAATTTCACGATCACTTTCCTCCACCCATCGTTTCATTTTGCGCCTCGGCCGTGATTTTCTCACCATTTCTGCAATGCGCTCGTGAGGAGAGTTGACGAAAAAAGCACGACACACTCCAGTTTGGCGAAAAATTTTCCGTGTGCGAAAATGCAATTTTCTCACTTCGCGACTCGTGGCAGAAATAACAATTCTGCGACACATAAATACAAGCGGAGACTTTTACGAGTGTGGGAGTTTCATGCACTCAAAGCTACATCAGCCGCCGTCTTAGTTACAAATTGTGGTGCTACTATAGACTTTAAGGAAGTTTAAAACAATGGAAGGTTAACACATTCGCATGACAAGGCATATAAATGTGAACAACAAGCGAGATGGGCAGAATGTGAGTTCAATTTATGGATGAAAGGAGAAAATTTTGATTATAGGGACGGATTAGGGTTAAACACAACTTCTTGGTGAGAAAATCACCAAAGTTTTATAACCTTTCATGGTCGAAATCTCTGAAATGATATATAGAATCTCCCAGAGATTTGATGTTGCTGACGTGAATTCACCATCGTTTGTCATTAAATTAATTTATACGATATGCAATCGAGAATTTTCACAAGAAACCCATAAATTATCCTCCCTGCAAAATGCTGTCTGACTCCAGTTCGCTGATGTGTGATTTAATTCCATTCCACCAGCATTTTCTACTGTGATTTTATTTTGGCGCCCCCCAAATGACGACCGCAAAACTGCCGGATCATCTTGCTGTAATCATCATCCCAAAAGTCTCCTCTGCAAGTGCTCCGCAATGACTGATGCTGAATCATGATGCCAACACAAATCCACCCCACACATTTCTCGCCTGCTGGCGACAATGTGTGTGCAATATATTTTTTTCCTTCTGCAAAATTTAACGACAAAACCCCACAATTTTCCTCTTCACTGACGCGGGGGAGACAAAGAGACCAGGAATCCAAACCAATTTTCTCCCCAGCAACAATTAACAATATGTTTGAGGTGATCGAGGAAAAGACGTGCACTAAAGATTTCCATCATTGTGTTTTCCCCGTCCAACATAATGACATTCTCACCATCAAATGAGGAGGAATCTTCTTGTCCATCACCCACTTTTGTCCCGAGTCGCTTCCGCGTGGAATTGCCGTATTGACGCGCATCTTGTTGTTTGATGATTTATTCGTTCTTTTACATAAATACAGCCCACAAACAGGTTTCGCTTAATCTCACGAGAGGCGAACTCAGCGCAAGTGATTAATGTGAAATTCATTTAATATTTGTTGTTGACACTTTATCACTCGCGACGGACGGTGACAAATTATGTATTGAAGGCTTAAGAAGGTTGTGCGATCCTTCCGATGCCAGCTAAGCGAGGCGACGGGAGTTTTCGCATGTTTCTGGAATGACACTGGGCGAAGAGTGAATGACACATCAGCTCGTAACTCAGTGATTGCATTTTCTTCGACTCGAGGGTGGGCCTGATGAGGGTCGGGCGAGAGGCATCTTGGGATGTCGATGGTCAATGATGGAAGGGTGTGCGCCAAATGATCAAAGATGTGGAAATTCGTCTCGGAGAGAACGACAAAGTCTTAATGATTCTCATCGAAACAATGGGCATCGTTCTCACGGCAGAATCCACGAGGGAGGACGCCGCCCCAGATGACCAGGGCCACAGTGGCGTTCGCATATATCAAAAGGGTAGCTGGCAAGACATCATTCTCGCCCCACTTCCTGCGGGACACTGAGATGGGCGACCGAGGAGTGAGGGCATAATCCCGGCAGCAGGGTCACGCAATGGCTCTATGAACTGCCGGAGCAATTACCCATTTCGACTGGATATAAATAAATGCTACATCGTCGTCAAATGGGACGAACATCAATTAGGAGCAGAGGTCGTTTGGCAACACCTCGAGAATTATTATGGCTCTATGTGTAATGGATAGTTGTTGTCAGAGGGTTTGCTGTGCAAAAACCGCTCACTGGCCCTCTCCTCAGTCCGCCAGGAACCACGCCAGAGGAAATATATAGAAAATTAATGGGAACTTCACACAGAATCCCGAGGGGAATGACAGTGTGCACAAGTCCCTCGGTGAGTTTTTCCCTGCGGAAAATCGAAAAAGGTGAGCCCCAAAATCACAATGATAATGATTTTACGATGATGGAATATTACAATAAAGTCAACGGTGAGATAAGCCTGTCACATGACGCTCTATTTGACATCCTCGAGGACGGAATGGATGATAAATTGACTGCCGTCAAAAGGCGGCTTATCACGTATGAATGCCGATTGAATCGGGACTCTTTGTTGTTATGGAAATTGTCAAAGTGGTCATGAGCTGAAGGGTGGATTATTTCCCACTTTTCTTGGCAGAAGAAAATGCCTCTTCATCAACT